CTCGTATTTTCGCAACTTTTTACAAAAGGACATCCCATAGCATTTGGTAAATACTGCAGGAGGAAAGTTCATTCCAAAGCGGATACATGACAATTACGTTAGTTAGTATATGTGTGTTATTTCTAAATATGATGGACGAAGCTTGATCTCGATCTGTAGTGGACGGTGCGATAGTACATTGAAGATGTTGGAATCATCTCAATTATTTCCTAAAAGCACTCCTTGAACCAATAGTTGGTGGTGGTGTGAAAACTTTTTTGGATAAGTAGCCTCAAACTGTATCAGCGGTAATCTATTGCATAGTTTAATGTAGGTACTCACAAATCCAGAATCTGTGGATGTGTCGTATGTGTTTTCAGTAGAAATTTCTTTATTTTTTTCAGGAATATCACTGAGGTTCAAACTAGTGTCGTTTTGATTTCCCTTTTCATTTTCATCAGTTACTTTATCGGAGAATGGAAAAGTGTCCATGGCTACAGCTTTTGGTTTGGTAGCAGGCTTGTTCGGTTGAATTACACTAAAAACAGGCTCAAAAGGTTTGTTCATGTTGTGCATTTCTGCTAACCTGAAGACTATAAACAATTCTGGACTGTAAAACGTTAGAATTAAATTAGTTACGCCGTAAACAATAATGTACATATTAAATCTGTTATTTATTCAGTGTGTATGCAAATATGATACAAATTCTCGAGCTTTTGGTTTGTTTTGTTAAGAGTAATTTGAGAATTTTATTTTTAAGTACACTAAGTATTCATTTAAAATAATCGAAATACGTACGAATCCGATTCAGATTGTGCTTTTTAACANCGTTAGAATTAAATTAGTTACGCCGTAAACAATAATGTACATATTAAATCTGTTATTTATTCAGTGTGTATGCAAATATGATACAAATTCTCGAGCTTTTGGTTTGTTTTGTTAAGAGTAATTTGAGAATTTTATTTTTAAGTACACTAAGTATTCATTTAAAATAATCGAAATACGTACGAATCCGATTCAGATTGTGCTTTTTAACAATCAGAGTTTATGTACTATTTTTGGTAAATCTACACTTACAATATGTTAAAATGAAAATCAGAATTGAAGATTCCATTTTGCAAAATAGGTTGTATTTGTCTTTCATATTTCTCGCTTCGAGAATGCAAAGTTTTTGATGAACAAAAACAAAACAGCAAGGATGTCACGAAAAACTGTGAATTGAATTATTTCAAATATTAGTTCATCGCTCGAATGCAATTATGCGAATGCAATTATATTCCAATTTCGTTTTTCTGAACTGGACTCACAGGTGAATAATTGAAATCCATGCTCGCTGCTGCAATTTCTTGTTGTGTGAACGAAAAAAGAAATTTATCGCTTTTAAAACATTGCGAGCATGCTCTGATTTTATGTGTGACGATCAATTTGTGATTACCAAGATTTCTTGATTGTTTTTGAAACTAAAACGTTTAGCTGTTTGTTTAGGTGCGTAACTACATATACTGTTCTCACTCGACTTTCGTTCCTAGGTTGCAATTTAAACCAGTTAAGAGGATACAGGACATTCGGAAGATATCGAGACTGAGTCAGTAAAAAGTGATGAGTATTTTTAAGTATTTGTTTCAGTGGATGCAGACGAGTCTGACGGCCCAATAGTGTCAAGCTTAGCAATAGGTCAAGCAAATCATAGGTACTGTGAAGTAATTTTATTACTTCATTTATCCACAGGTCGGTGGTTCTGCGACAACACTCCTGCCTCCCATCAATATAAAGAAATTTCACCTCCTACGGGAAGACGAAAACCGGCCTTTGACACTATTGCTTGTAGGACGGAATTTGCCAGACTACAGATTCATTCGTGAGGTAGCAGAATTTATAATAAGGAAAATATATCTCAGCATGCTTAAATAGGTATGATGTTAAAAATAATCTGAAGTCTTGGCTCCTAAGCTTAGACTATTTTGAAACAGAACAAGTCGTGTTGTAAAAATGTATAATGATGTATATATAGGTATAGTATATACTGTTCATTTATTGTAGCTATTTTTTTGTAGGGTAGAAGTGATGATGATGTTATGTGCGATATATAATATAGGTCATATATAACGTAATATTTTATTATACTTTATGGTATGACACACATACACACACAAACACATACACAACACACACACAAACACACACACAAACACACACACACTCACACGTACGTACTATATTTATACAGATCGCTCTTCCTGGTTAACTTACTTACCTGGTGACCTAGCACTGAACCACTGACTTTTGCAATACAGGTGTTCCTAGCATAAAAGTCAGGGAATATTGTTATTGTATACCTCATAAAAAGCCATGTAGGTATATTATTATACTAGTGTTAAGAATTCTTGTACGTGATTGTATTTTAAGAGGTTTGAATAAAAATATTATTATTATTATTGTTGTTAAAGCTCTTGAGATGATGAAATTCGAAATATTTTGGAGGCTAAATTCAGCCTGTATTTACACTACTTGTACTAGAAGACTCTTGACTCTTCAACCCAGAACCCAATAATAGTAGTACTCAGTAGTATTTAATATACAATAGTAAAAAATGGGCTAACCCAACCTTGCCCACAAGACGTTAAATTATCAGTAAGAATTTTAATTGGGTAAGTTAATTCCTAATAAAATCTGCTGCAATGTTCGTTGGATTACTTATTATATGGTATATAGTACACAATTAGGTTTCCTTCATGATTTCAACCACTTTATTGATTTAGAATTTTTTTAATCAATTTCTCTAACATTGTTCAACCCTTTTTTTATTGCTTAGATGGGTGGACGAGCTCACAGCTCACCTGGTGTTAAGTGGTTACTGGATGCCATAGACATCTACAACGTAAACGCGCCACCAACCTTGAGATATAAGTTCTAAGGTCTTAAGTATAGTTATAACGGCTGCCCCACCCTTCAAACCGAAACGAATTACTGCTTCACGGCAGAAATAGGTAGGGTGGTGGTACCTACACGCGCGGATCACAAGAGGTCCTACCACCCGCCCTGAAATGGGTTCTGTGGTCTTTAACAACCTTTTTGCAAAAACAGACCGTCTTCCTTTTTAATTATTGTGATTTAACACAATAACAATAACGCCTAGAACAATTTCGTATCGACGTACGTACTGTTGGCTATGTCGGGTGCGTCCATTATTTCATGAGGCGCTACACGTTTCATTGCAATTGAGTACACAAGTATAACTCGGTTACTTTTTGGTTAAAATTCGTATTCTATTAAATAAGTAAACGAGAGCGACGCCGCGACGTTTTAAAATAATACTACAGGTCCCGCAGTAGTCGAAATTCGACTATAATTAATTGGAATTGTAAGTTTGTACACTATTATGATTGTGTTTTATACTTCTATAATCGCAATTTTCGCCAAGGCTACACTATAAAAAATATTAATAAAGACAAACAATATTTAATCTATTCTCAATTTGACAACAGACGTCAAGAACAAAAGTTTGACAATAAACAGTATGCATGCGTTTGTGCGTCAAATACATGGTATGCGCATTTTTGTGGGGCTTAATCGACCAAAACCATTATACACGGGAGCTCTTTTCTTCGACGTCGCAAAAGCGTCCGACAAAGTCTGGCACAACGGTTTGATTTTCAAACTATTCAACATGGGTGTGCCGGATAGTCTCGTGCTCATCATACGGGACTTCTTGTCGAACCGCTCTTTTCGATATCGAGTCGAGGGAACCTGCTCCTCCCCGCGACCTCTCACGGCTGGAGTCCCGCAAGGCTCTGTCCTCTCACCCCTCCTATTTAGCTTTATTCGCCGACGACACGATTGTTTACTATTCCAGTAGAAACAAGTCCCTAATCGCGAAGAAGCTTCAGAGCGCAGCCCTAGCCCTAGGACAGTGGTTCCGAAAATGACGCATAGACATCAACCCAGCGAAAAGTACTGCGGTGCTATTTCAGAGGGGAAGCTCCACACGGATTTCTTCCCGTATTAGGAGGAGGAATCTCACACCCCCGATTACTCTCTTTAGTCAATCCATACCCTGGGCCAGGAAGGTCAAGTACCTGGGCGTTACCCTGGATGCATCGATGACATTCCGCCCGCATATAAAATCAGTCCGTGACCGTGCCGCGTTTATTCTCGGTAGACTCTATCTACCCCATGATCTGTAAGCGGAGTAAAATGTCCCTTCGGAACAAGGTGACACTTTACAAAACTTGCATAAGGCCCGTCATGACTTACGCGAGTGTGGTGTTCGCTCACGCGGCCCGCACACACATAGACACCCTTCAATCTCTACAATCCCGCTTTTGCAGGTTAGCCGTCGGAGCTCCGTGGTTCGTGAGGAACGTTGNGAAACCTTCCAAAATTAAAATACAATTATCCTAAACGTCTTAAGTATATGTAAAATTTTGTCATTAGTAAATAATTGTAAGGTAGCGCCCTCTGTGAATTGATATTTTAATTTCACGTATAATCCTAAATTAAAATTCACTACAAGAGCTTTCATACACACGTTAGTATTAAAAAATCTCACAGATGGCGCTGTATTAAATAGTATCTATATTTCTGTCTCATTCTTTGCTGGTTTCATCCTACACATTTTTGTATTTGTGTCTCTTACCTGTCGTTTTTTCCGTTGCATCCGGTTTGAAATCACAACGATTCTAAATAAGTTTTCACTTCAATATAGGGCCGAAGTGTCAATTGTATGACTTTTAAATGGTAGTCTTTCAAATCGAAATTTTTTAGCGAATCGCACGTAGTGATGTAAACTAAACTAAACGTCTTAGCCGCCAATAATGTGATGGCAAGATTATTAAAATAGGTGCTTTAGTTTATTCATTTCGTTGGTCTACTGGTTAGTGATTCTACTGCACCATGGTGTCCGAGTACGATTCCCAGTCGGAGTCATTATCATTGCTAAAGTTATTTGCTGATTGCTAGTTCTGGTGTCGTTTATTCGTTTGTAAACAATAAAATATTTTATTAAATGGCAACAATTTAATTCAATTTATATAATCCTGTCGTGGCTGCCCTGAAAACGATCGGCTACATTTTATGCGCAATGTTTTCGCACGTAGCTTGGGTCGGTAGCGCTTCCTAGCCTCATGTGAATTAACTTTTCTCGCTAGACATGACATTTCGTTCAGTCTATAGCGGCCTCGTTCCATTTGAAGCAAGCCGAGCCTGACACCACGTTTCAATGTCCTGGAAAAAAGTCTCATTAAGTATCATTAAGGAGAACTCACAATTTTTTTAGTTTACTTGCACAAACGTCTTATTTCACGGACAGAATTTTTTTATTTTTTTATTTTTTTATTGCCCTTGTAGGCAGACGAGCGTACGGCCCACCTGGTGGTGAGTGGTTACCGTCACCCATGGAATTCAGCAATGCCAGGGCCAGAGCCAAGCCGCTGCCTATCGCTTAATACTCTCCACAAGCCTCGTTTGAAGAAGGACATGTCATAGCGCTCGGGAAACACCGTGGAGGGGAGCTCATTCCATAGCCGGATGGTACGTGGTAAAAAAGATCTCTGGAAACGCACTGTGGATGACCGCAGTGGCTCCAGGTAGTATGGATGAACTCTACTCTGGTGGCGGGCGGTGCGATGGTAAAAACGAGATGCCGGTATCATCTCGAACAATTCCTCAGAGCACTCCCCATGGAACATACGGTACAAAATACAGAGGGTCCCTCCGCAGACCCAGAGGTTCCAAACGATCCGTGAGAATGGGATTATCGACAATTCGAACGGCCCTCCTATGTATGGAGTCAAATGGAAGAAGCTGGTATTTGGGAGCCCCGGCCCAGAGATGGGAGCAGTACTCCACGCGAGGCCGAACTTGTGCTTTATAAAGAAAAAGTCTTTGTCCAGGCGTGAAGTACCGCTTCGCTCTGTTGAGGACTCCCAGCATTTTGTTTAATGGTTAGCGGTGCTAACGCTGTCCTTAAAAATTCGAAGACTGATTTTTTTGTATTAACAAAGTCGGTTTGTATCAATAGAGTGTTTTATCCATCAAAACGAATTATTTCGTTGCAGGAGTGGCAATTACAATTAAATCTACACAGGTTCTCTGTCATATTATGAAGCATAATTATCTGTTGTTCAGGTTTGATTTTTGTTTCTCGATATAGTTTTCTAAAAAAAAAAATGAATGATACGGTTGTTTTTTGAACAAACACAATCTGGGTTAATGTGGTAAAACATTCTTTGAGATTTTATGCCCATTTGTTGACTGTGAGTTATGAACGTCTGTAACACTGCGATTGACTATATTCATAAACTGTATATTTGAACGCCAAGGACACGACTGGACGTTGTTACGAGTACTACACCTTCATTTGATGCTACTGTACTGTATTAAAACGATTTTTTTTTTAATTTATGAGCAGTGGAGCTCACGACCTATCTCAGATAAGCGATTACCGAACAATGATTAATATTAAACAGTAACGCCACAATGTTGTTACTCATCTAGAAGCATGCATAGAAATAGTTGTGATCGTCGTTGAAGTCGTAGAAGTCATCATGGCCGGACGTAAGACGGCCGGTGCATTTATATCCAGCAATGCAACGGTATTCGAATCCGGCAGGCAGGTATCTATTTTTCTAATGAAATACGCACTCAACAAATGTTCACGATTGACTTCCACGGTGAAGGAATAACATCGTGTAATAAAAATCAAACCCACAAAAATATAATTTGCGTAATTACGGGTGGTAGGACCTCTTGTGAGTCCGCACGGGTAGGTACCACCTCCCTGCCTATTTCAGCCGTGAAGTAGTAATACGTTTCGGTTTGAAGGGCGGGGCGGCCGTTATAATTATACTGAAACCTTAGAACTCATATCTCAAGGTGGGTGGCGCATTTACGTTGTAGATGTCTATGTATTTCAGCACTTCTATAAACGAATTTATTTATTAAACTATTATTCCAATATTTATTATTGGAACGAACTTCCTTATCATACGTTTTGTTGGCGGCCTTAGGGGCTATCGAAAAAAGTGAAACGACAATAGATCAACACCTAATAAATCTGATATAACAAAAAACCGACATCATTTTTGCAGTGATTTTTGAACGCTTCCCGATCATTTAGGAAACTGAAACATTTTCCTTTCGTAGTAGAAATATACTAGTATAAACAGGAATAATACCCGCATTTTCAGATTAATTTGGATGCTTGGTGTATGTCAACTTAAATTAGTATGGTATTTTAATTTATTTAGCTCATAACTATTGACAGGTATCGGTGAACAATAGCCGAGTGATTTCAGATTATGAATGCCACTGCCGACCATGACATAGAGGTCAAAGACTCAGTACTGAGGAATTATTGTTGTGGGAAAATTATATTCGAACCAGAGAGCTACATCTTGGTTGATTTTGGCGTTCTTTTTAGCATCTAGACGCCTTGACGGCATCTTGTATAGATAATTTACATCTTTTTTTAAATCACAGTATGGTTCTACATTACGTCTATGAGATAATTTTTGTTACAAAATAATTAACAGTTCTATATCTTCATCAAAATATATTAAAAAGTAAAGCTCTAATGGAGGTTCAATACTTTGGAGATAAGATATAATTAATTATTATCCGAGATTCTGAGTGATACGAATAGAGACGTAGAGGGAAGGATTTGTAGAAGTTAGTTAAGACTTTTAATTCGAATCCTCACGGACTACTTCGGTACTCAAGAACACCTGATGGACTTGGCTGAAGATGCAAACTACCGATCCTGTATGATCTAAGGAATCGTGCATTATAATATAATGCAGGAATCATGCATTATAATGTAATGATAATAATATATTATGATTCTGCTGGATGACTGCCATATAATGATTCTGCTAGATGACTACTAGCGGAAGAGTTTATTCTGATATGTATTTCGGGAAACGAAATACCACATTTTCACATGCAACTTTGTAACTTAGGAACGTTGACTCTACTGAACACGACATCGAATACGCTCATTATTTTTAAAAAGGGAAAAGTAACACTGACCTGGATACCTTTCGATTTATCTTGGGGTCAGAGATACTGTATTCTAATTTAATAAACTTAATGATGGTACGAGTTGTCCAGCCAGTGTTTTTCATGAGTTTCTTGATTGCAGACAAAACGATCTCCCCCGTGTTGAATGTATTATTTATTTTCGCCATTATACGTATACTGTTTTATTCATAAATATTCTAGAAGGAACGTTCGGTTGTAATAATTTTGAAGGCTTTAGGAAACGAATTGTAATAACGCGTTGACGTACAAATAGTAAATTTCATTTTTTGACGTTAGTTTTTGCGCTTTTTAAAACGCCATAGAAATAAGTATATAACGATCATTGACCTTTTTTATCATTGAAAAACCGTTTCGAGGAATAGGCTGGCTAATTCCAGAAAAATCATTCTTAAGATTTTTTTTATTTGATTACCATTAATGTTACTCAAATACTGTTTGACTTTTGCTAGTTTTGAAATATCGCCATGATTGGCTTGATAGAAACAGATAATTTATAAAGATAAAGGAGGTACTCATGCTTTGAATACTGTTATGATCTATAGTCATGTTCATGAATGCAATGTACATAATATGTAATATAACAACCCGGGCGTGTTTTCAGAGATATTGTGTTTAGTTCTTATAATAAAAAAAATAGAAAAGTATTTATTAAATGAACGGGCTCCGCAAAGCAGTTAACTTTTGACTATGGTAATAGTAGATTTATGGAAAATTAATAAAACAATTCTACAAATTGTACCTAATTTTAATAATACCAGCCAACAATACTAATATTACGATATCATATAGTAAACTCAGATAATTCTTTATCCAACAAGCGATGCTATTACTGACGATGGTATAGCACCACCGGGGCCTTGCTCTATAGATGGCTGGAAGCCTTTGTCATCTGCGATGTATGTCACGGTGTATGTGATACCATCTGGTGCCACCCAAGAATATGATCCTTTAATTACTATAGATTCATCATCAGTCCCTACATTAATGACCTCGCCTTGCTCATCACGTTTTGATCCGTCAGTCTGCTCGTATCTGTAAAATAGTTTAAATTAATGTAAATTTATGTTGCTGATATCTTAAAGAGTCTGCGACCTAATCATTAGGATAGCTCGTGTTTATTCTATCTGATAATGTGATTATGCTGGATATTATTTTTTCTAAGTAAAGCTGTAACCAACATGTGCTTAGGAATAATGAAAGAATACAAGAATAATGAAAGAATACAATTGAAATACCTGGTGGTAAGACCTCTTGTGAGTCCGCGCGGATAGGTACCACCACCCTGCCTATTTCTGCCGTGAAACAGTAATGCGTTTCGGTTTGAAGGGTGGGGCAGCCGTTGTAACTATATTGAGACCTTAGAACTTATATCTCAAGGTGGGTGGCGCATTTACGTTGTAGATGTCTATGGGCTCCAGTAACCCTTTAACAGCTCGTGAGCTTGTCCACCCATCTAAGCAATTAATAAAAAAAAATACAAAGTAATTAAAGTCAAGCTTGCAGAATTAACTACTTTCTGTAATTACTCGTACCAAACCGTATTGTAAGCTTATGTCTGCCGCAAAGCAATTGTAAGTCTAAAGATTAGGGCAGTCGTTATTAAAATGTATTAAAATTCCACCCCAATGCCTAGAAGTAGCGAGATCACGCTGTAACATCAATAGCAAAAATACGCACTAGGTTAGCCACTGTACAGATCTTCGGATTACCTACCATGAAAAATCCTTAACCCTAGATTGTCGATGTCCAAGAGCGGCTATTGAACATGAAACCGTAAGGGCAGTGACTTATTTAACATCAAACAGATCTGATGACAATGATGACAAAAGATGTTGACAAAAATGTCGAATTGAACTTAAATAAAAATAATTAAAATGGTCATCATCTAAAGTTGTAAAATGGAATACTTACAGGAACCTGTAAGAACCGAGTCCGTCATTATCACTGTCGAATTTCAAGAGCTGCACATTGTCGTCCTTCGGTCCTTGTGGTGCTGAATGGGCCAACGCCAAGAAACTGAACAAAACCAACTGCGAACACAAGTTACAAAGTTTTAGTTTTTTTTTTATTTCGTCCACAAAGTTTTGAAACTGGACTGAGAGAGTTTGTTAAACTAAACATAATAAATCATTAAAAGCACCATTAAAAGTTTAGTAACGATATATTACTGTTTATTTATAATTTTTAAATGTACAAATATAATTTTAATCACAACGAAAAATTCACTGAGATACTGACTAATTTCATCATGTTGTATACGCTTCTCAACTTCAACTGTGTTTGTCAGCATTTACTTAACTCTTATTATATACATTTCTGAATATTTGCATTGCAACATACCATTATTAGTTAACGTACGTAGTTCGTTACAACGTTTTGTGTGTGTGACCACTCCTACGACACGACGAAGGCAAGACGCGTAAAGTTTGAGGACATCTTTGACAAGGGGTATTTCGAAACTTTTAAGTTTTTAATTATACACGATTGGGCGCATTCGAAAACAATAATTTTAAAGGAATACATAATAATGATGAAGTGGTTTTCGTGATTACTTGAGACGAATAAAAAATGATAGGCTAACTGATATAAATTTATTATCAAATAGAGTAATTACAGTAAATAGAAAGTTCAAAATAAACATTTATTTTATTGTAAGTAGTTCGATTACCAAATNAAGTTTTTAATTATACACGATTGGGCGCATTCGAAAACAATAATTTTAAAGGAATACATAATAATGATGAAGTGGTTTTCGTGATTACTTGAGACGAATAAAAAATGATAGGCTAACTGATATAAATTTATTATCAAATAGAGTAATTACAGTAAATAGAAAGTTCAAAATAAACATTTATTTTATTGTAAGTAGTTCGATTACCAAATTTTAATGATATATTTTCAGGTAATAATTTAAATATAGTGATATTATGTAAGCAGTATTATACACACAGACAAAGGTCTTATGCCGAGAATATCCGAATATACAAAAAGGGTCACATCGTTTAATGCGGGTTATTTTTTATACAGTCCGGTTTCATATCGACCGCGGACAACGTACGCTGCGGCTGCTGATGTTCCCTTGACTTATCCGAAGTATTCTTCCCCAAAGTTTGTGTGTTTTGTTTGCCCCTGCTACGAAATCGACCCTTTGCCACCCCTTTTCCAGCTCTGTTTTATAATTTCAGCATATTTAGGTGCATTGTTGTCATTTATCAGTAAACGAATTTAAATTATAATACCAAATGATTAATTAATAAAAATCTCTGAACGATTGTACTCATTGTATTTGCATTGACACTTTATAATATTAGATATTAAGGCTGATTTTTTATTGGAACTCAATCCGGTTTGACGTATAACAGTAAAGCGCCCTGTAAACGATCAAATTGTTTGTCAAATTTTACGTTTTGTCAAATTATTTGACAGTATGCAGCTTTGTTTGAAGCGTTTGTCCAACAGTCTACGTGTTTGACGGAAATCTTGATTGACAGCGCGTTCGACAAACAAGTTTGAACGTGGATGGGGGTGTTTGTCAAACAAAATCTCAGTCGTTGGTCGACACGACGTCTCGTTACAGCAAGAAGAAAATCGAATCTACGGACAAGTTAACAAATTTGTTTGATCTTTGGTTTGAGCGTTTAAGCTATTGTTTGATGAAAACGAAGTTTGACAAACAAATCTGTCAAACAAATTTGATCGCTTACAGAGCGCTTAATTGGGTTTATCTAATACTCATAATACCTTTGTCAGTACATGAAAAAAGAAAAAAAAAATGAGAGAAAATATTTATATACAGGTTGTTGTAAGCTAGTAGAAAAGGACACATAAAATAGAAAATCGAAATAAGTAAAATATTTTTATTTTTATTTTAAAACTACATTAACTAAATTTACCAACAACATATCTGTTTAACCAGCTAAAGAGGAAAGTATTGATGAAGGTAAAGCTCCGCCGGGACCTTGCTCTATTTCTGGTTGGTAGCCGTCTTCATCAGCCACATAAGTCACGGTATAGGTAACGCCGTCTGGACCCACCCAAGAAAATTGACCTCTAACAGACAAGGATTCGTGTTCTTGGCCCTCGTTCTTCAGCGCACCTTCCTGCTCAAATCTGGTGCCATCGGATTGCCCGAATCTGTAAATAATTAGAAAGGCCGTTAACTCGCCTACTCTTAACAGTAATACACATATTAATATAGGTGATACAGTTTGCAAACGAATTTAATACTAGCGCATCTTATGTTGTTTCTAGTACTTTTTTGTTGAAATTCTAAATAATAGAGCTTTACCTATGCTGTTTTAAATTACTGGCAATTTGTCACGTAATATACCTATATGTATGACAGAAATAAGTTCTAAATTGAAATAAATTTCATTTAAAAAATATGGAAATCTCTTTTCAAATTCAGTCATTTGTTTATTGATTAGTGTTTTGTTTCCAGTACATTTGTATCTTTTTCATCAATGTGGACATGATAAAACACGAGTACTTAGAGAATACGAGTTCTGAACGTACGGTAGCAATGTCGCACAAACGGCTCACAGCTTTAATGACCTGTACGGAGTAAACACTACAAACGGACCCGTCAGGTTAGAGCCCCGTGAGCTCACCTACTCGTACTGCGAATCTAGTATAGCCCCTAGAAGTTACTAGAATAGGTAGGGAAAAAAAAACGGAAGCATGACTCATTATTGTCTCGTGGAACTGCATTGTCACTTGCAATGAAAAAAATATTATTTTGAATAATAATAATATGCGGTCAACATGTCGATTAGACCCTAGCTTAGCACCTAAGCAATACTTAAAGACAGAGATCCCTCAATTTTGTGCACATTTTGATTGATCATATTTTGACATACATATTTTGATTCATAGAAACAAAAAAAATGTGTGCAATTCACGTGTGGTAGAAGTCAAACCTTGAAAATTTTGGCTTCTGATAATGAGACGAATGTAAAATTTCCGGAAAAGGATAATTGAGTCGTCTATTATCAAAGGCGGCAATCTGTGCATTTGGACAACAAAATTTTATTGATATGTCAATACAGATTGATTTGAATATAATCGTCTCCTTCAAAGAATACGGTTCAAAACCTGCATTAAATAAAGGTTAATAGTTAACCTGTTATTTATCTAAGATGTCGTTCCGAAGAGTTTTGTGACTGCCGATGGAATACAAAGTCANAATCGTCTCCTTCAAAGAATACGGTTCAAAACCTGCATTAAATAAAGGTTAATAGTTAACCTGTTATTTATCTAAGATGTCGTTCCGAAGAGTTTTGTGACTGCCGATGGAATACAAAGTCAATAATTCGTTTTTCTGATTTACCAATCATTGTCCAAAAGTCAGATTGCCGCCTTTGATAATAGTCGACTCAATTGTAGGTTTTTGTAATAATCACAGTAATACCAAATTTTGATAATTATTTTACATTTTACGTATATTTGTATATATTACGAATATTAGGGACGAAGCAGAGCACAAAGAGAACTTCGAATATAAGAAACACTGTACAATACTTCCTATCACATTATCTCTCACTTGAAATATTATAAATTTATGTGCCTGTCTTTTTTTACTGCCACTTTTTCGTTTCATCGACTTTCGAATCACAATGATGCTGAAGTTTTCACTTCAAAAATTCCCAAAAAAAAACTTAACTTTCTGTAGACTAAACAGCATCGGTAAAGACTTTTTTTATTTTTTTTTTGGTCTGGAGGAAATCGCCAGACTCCCAACCTCCACTGGGGATAGCGGGTAGGGTATGTCAGACCTAATATCTACTACGTTTTATAATTGGGTAGTACTTACCCGAATTTGTAACTGCCGCGTCCACTGTTGACATTTTCGTATTTTAATATTTGCACCTCCCTAGGCGGAGGGGCAGTAGCGACGATTCCCACCAAACACAATGCTAGTAACTGAAAACAATTGGGAATGAAACTTTGTTTGACATCGCACCATCATTCCGAAGAAAATAAGTTTAATAATTCTAATAAAAATAATACATTTACGTAGGTAGATTACGTATGTTACGTACTAGATTTACTGGTGGTAGAACGTCTTGTGAGTTCGCGCGGGTAGGTACCATCACCCTGCCTTTTTTTGCGATGAAGCAGTAATGCGTTTCGGGTTGAAGGGTGGGGCAACCGTTGTACTGTACTGCACTGAGACTTTAGAGCTCATCTCTTAAAGTGGGTGGTGGCATTTACGTTGTAGATGTCTATAGGCTCCAGTAACAACTTAACACCGGGTGGGCCGTGAGCTCGCCCACTAATGCCAATTAAATGTCAACTTTTTATTTACATATATAGGTATATGTAGATATATATTAACGACTGTCTTTAATTCAGAATTGTGTCATCTACTCGCGTAAGCTCACAATACGGGATGCAACCAGATATATTTTATCTTCACTTACTATATACTGATTAAAATGAAAATCGATTTAATCAAATCGGCACAGTAATAATTAAAAAATAAGCCCTCGTTCTTTAATAATAATTAGATTTGAGTTATTATTATCAAATTAAACTAATTATTAATTTAAATTAAATTGAAAATATTGCAGAAGTTTCACAAGCTTTTTGCAAAAAAGGACAAAAAAATTAGCTCACCAATTTCATTTTCGGTTCGTTTATACGTTAATTACAGAATTAAAATAAAATAAAATGGATAAAAACTCAAAGCGTATAGGTATTTAACGTGACACACAGTGCTCAGTTTGCGCGGTAAAAAAAAAAACACAGACTATATTCAGGCGCCTGAACAGCTTGTATGCTTTGTTTGTACGCTCGGCCGAGTGGTCTCGCAAATATATATAGTACTGGCCTGCAGCAGTCTGCAAAAAACCACATTCTATTAATGTTTAAAAACAAGAATAAAAACTTAAGTCTTGACCTGATTATTTTATTAATTATTTTTAATGTTTATTAATAATTTTAACCTTGAAACTTGGCTCCTTTACGATGGCGTGGGTGAACTTCATTCAAACTGAGCACTTTGAGTGCTTGAGTGGAATTAACAATGTATAACAAGATTTATTTCGATGTTTTATTGTTTTATATCTTTTATCTGTTCCGCATGCCAACGATAAAGTTATTCTCCTCACGCCCAGAAAGTTCTACCACGAATTACACATGTTATTTTCCCTCTTTTAATTTCCTTTCTGCACATATATTTTATTTTAAGTTTTGTTTTATTAAGTTTCCCATCCTAACTTATCTGTTGTTATTTATACATTTAATAAAATGGTCGATTGAGAAAAAAGTAGTTGAATTATTAGTTTTTAAGACACGAAAATCCCCCGGGGTAGGTCCCTTTTTTATTTAACCTATGTCAAGTTTTGTATCTCTGACATCATGTATGCAAAATATCATGACGATCTCTTGAGTGCTTAAGATGTGAAAGCGGAATAAACAAACAAACAAATTTTTGCATTCACCCTATTAGTTAAATCGCCGGGTCGAATTTTCGGAACTAGTATGTATTATATTGTGCAAACTATCTTGTTTTGGTTCGAATCGATTTTTTCCAGATATCTTCTGTTAAATGATAGATATCCCTACAATTCATTTAGAAACGGACATTTGATCACAAACTTATAAAAAAAATATTAATAGAAAAAAAATTACAATTGGATTGTTCAGTTATTTGAAGCGTATTATCGATATAAATTTTGTATTTTGTTTAAGTAAGCTCTATTTTATATTTCAAGTGCTGTACTTTTAATCCTGTCAACTTTTTAAATTAAGTATATGGTTATGGTAACATTTAGTGTTTTTTTTCTGTGTAATAAATAGTTGAAACTTCGAGCATAAGATCTCTTAAAAAAAAATTATTTTATGTTTTCACTGGCTACTAGGGTGTCATGTAAACTCGCAAGGTTACGTACCACTTGTCTTCCTTCCGCGGAGCAGTAAGCGTTCCAGTTTAAAGGGCTGTTCAGCCGTTATATAATTGAGACTTAGACCTCATGTCTCAAGCTGAAGTGTCTCGTTGTATACGCATACGCGGGGTGATGTCTATGGGCGCCGTTATGTAGTTATTTTACATCACCTGAGCTCGTTTATCCGTCTACACTTTAAAAAATATATATACAAATTCTCCGAATAAGAATTCGCTGACTTAACGATGATAAAATATAAAGGTATGAGGGATCTTTTTAACTGTCATACTTTTGTGTAGTACTGCTTGATTGTGTGACTTTGCAAATTGAAAAATTTATATTTTATTTTATCCCGCTTTTTATTAATGAGCAATGACTAATATGTTGTTATAACATCTTTCATCTTTTCGAAAGATAAATGAACGAGGTTGGACAGTGGCTAACTAAAGTGGGCCGCCACATGGTGTTAAGCGATTACCGGAGTCTATAGACATCAAAAACGTGTACGACTAACCAAAAAAGGACTCGATAAGCTCAGGACTTTACAAAGTTAAAGTTTCGCTGAGCAATAAACTCAAAAGTATCTTTCAAAGGGATGATTCATCGTAATTCTTACGGTCAGAAGATAAGGGTATGTAGATACCCGTTGCTTCGTTATAAACCATAACTTAGCTGCCTACTTTTGCTGATAAATATTTTATGTTTACCTATATTTTGTTATTTCCTTTTTTCCACTTAATCTCAAGCTTCGAAGCGATAATGTCCAGCTTGCCAAGAGAATACTACTCCGTTAGTGCTACTGAAGTATTACTCCAGGAGGATATCTCTCGCTCCACGAGAAAAGAATCCCTCTGTGAGGCCGAGTGATCGACCTTCTCGATTCTTAACTCAGAAAGGGGTACAAACTGCTCTGAGGAAGGTTCTAAGACGGACGGAGGAGAACCAGTGAAGAGCGTAGGCTGGAGTAGAGAAGCCTGCATTTTTTCGGAAGAGAGAATGGCGGTCAGCTCCTGGTGCTCAGCATCAACGAAAATAACAGGGAAAGCTGATCACTCTACACGAGGTAGAGTGATCAGCTTACCGTGAGGACAGCGGGCGCGGGAGTTTCCCCGCTGCTGATCCACAGTCACCCACAGAGGACTGAAACCCAGGGCCGAACTGGAGACGGTCCCAACTACTTCTGAACAGAAGATAGTAGCAGTGACGATAAAGAAAAAGAGGTGGCTTTGACCACCATATTCGCAGGCTGTGGTCCTAAAACTGCAGACGGAAGCCGCTGAGCGAGGTCTCACATACCACATCTCTGCATCCCCATTCAAAAGGTGCGGATCGGTGAGCAAAAATTCTGTTCATGGACGGAGATGAAAAAGAAGTAAAAGCGGGTATACTAGCTGAGAAGTTTAGAGATCTTGCCCACACGAAGAATAACCGGCAGAATAATATGACAAAACCATCGGATTTTTTTTCTACTCAATTCTTGGAAACGTAAGGGTCTATTCTAACTACGCGCGGACTGCAAAGAAGATCATCTCAGCACCGCAGCAACGGATGGTGCTTAATTCGCGTCCGCCTGCTGAAGGCTTCGTAAGTCAAGCCAACGGCGGCGGGACGTCCATAGACTTTCAGCTTTCGTCTGGCTTAGGGAAAACCTAGAGCTCAAGAAGATCCGGGGCCGCTGAAAAACCGAAGAGGAAGCCGAAAGATGAAGGTCGTGATCTTCGGTTCATCGACAGCGAAAGTTGAGTTGTGGGGCGGCCGGTGCTCGACATCAAGGTCCGCTGGGGTGGTGGTGTATTGTAGCTCCAGCGTGCCCCTCAAAATAGTAGAGTATAGAGAAGGAAGAAATCCCCCGTGGCAGATTCCGCCCAACGTATGTACATTGGGGTGGTGCCGGCGAAAGCAGACCCATGGTGCGTATATTGCGGTACCGGGATTCTTGCTTAATCGGAGTGGTGGAGCTCGATAGGGCTTAGTCGATAGTGCTTCTGTGGGGCAGATCTTACGGGCTCAGGCTACACGTCGTCCCGTGCGTGCCTTTCTCAAAGCGTAATCTCCTAAGATCTATTGGAAGAGGGCGAGGACTTCGAGCGATAGGCAGCGGCTTGGCTCTGCCCCTGGCATTGCTGAAGTCCATGGGCGAGGGTTACCACTCACCATCGGGTGGGCCGTGTGCTCGTCTGCCTACAAGGGCAATAAAAAAAATGCGTCCTCTCCTTCTTATTATCTGGAGGCGCCGGAGTCTAAGATAACCTGGCCTTTTAGCCCCCTTAATTTGATACCCTAAAATATCAAGCCACTGTAAGCCAATAAAGGGACGAAAAATATAGAATTTTTATATCTTAACTATGTATTTAACTCAAAATCTACTTAGGCCGTCACTTCTTTAAAATCAAAACNGGGCAATAAAAAAAATGCGTCCTCTCCTTCTTATTATCTGGAGGCGCCGGAGTCTAAGATAACCTGGCCTTTTAGCCCCCTTAATTTGATACCCTAAAATATCAAGCCACTGTAAGCCAATAAAGGGACGAAAAATATAGAATTTTTATATCTTAACTATGTATTTAACTCAAAATCTACTTAGGCCGTCACTTCTTTAAAATCAAAACCAGTACATTAGTAGGCGGCATCTTAATGTATCTAGTGCAGTATAACTCAAAGTGGCATAAAAATAGTAAAATATTTGAATAGTTGGCAATGTATGAGGCAATATGAACTTGTTTTTAAACAGTATTATATAAATATTTAACCTTGTATCAAGCTTTCAGTACCGGTTTTTTTCGGTCATATTAAATAAATGATTTTTTTAGGCAATCGAGCTCATGGTCCAGCTGTTTGTCTCTTCTATCATTTATCAATAAATAGATATAGATTAACACGAGATAAATTAATAATGTTCTGAGTCAGCATGATTTTCATGAGAGGAAATCGTAGAACAGGAATTAGAAACACGATCAAACTCAATTTATAGTTTATTTTTAAAACAGCATTAATTATTAAAATTTACCAACAACTTATCAATTTAACCGGCAAGAGAATGAAGTATTGCTGACGGTACAGCTCCGCCGGGACCTTGCTCTATTTCTGGTTGGTAACCATCTTCATCAGCCACAAAAGTCACGGTATAGGTAACGCCGTCTGGACCCACCCAAGAAAATTTACCTCTAACAGCCAGGGATTCTTCTTCTTGGCCCTCGTTCTTCAGCGTACCTTCCTGCTCAAATACGGTCCCATCAGATTGGCTATATCTGTAAAACATTAGATACAACATCAAATAGCTATTAAAAACATAAAAACACTGATTTAGATTTCGATACTATGTGAAAAAGTGTACAGTGAAGTGTATTCACTAAATATTCCGTTTGTATAGATGTCTTTTTGTAGAGATAGTTATTCTCTGAATATGTTTGTTTAAGTAACAATATAAAGTATTTACCCAAATCTGTAATTACCCCGTCCATTATGCACATTTTCGTAGCTGGTTAGCTGAGCTTCACCAGGTGGACGGGAAGCGGCAACTATTCCCACCAAACACAATGCTAATAACTGAAAATTAAGGAAAATTAAAATAGTTTAATTCGAAGTGAAGATTTCGTTTATGATAAATTTAAGTATCTGAGTTGAGTCCTTTATAACTTAAAAAAACATTAAATCACTTTATTAGTACATGTTTATTTTTTAAACGCAATGTAATTTTCACTTGGTATACATTGATTTTACTTGTAAAACATTCAAAACTTTAATTCTACAATAAATTGAACGTTTATTAATTTTTAGCAAAAAAAACAATTTTTTCCAGAATACACTTCACAAAAAAAATTAAATAAACATAATAGCGCACCAGTTTCATTTTCGATTGGATTTCGTAGCTTGTTTGACAAACGTTCGAGTGATCCGACAAATATATATAGCATCCGCTAGAGATACAGTCTGCAAAAAAGATCATATACGATTAATTTCTAAAAACAAGAACAAAACTTTAACCTTGACCTATTCCATTACAATAGACATCTTTACTCTTTATATGGCTTATAACTTTCTGTTTTTTTTTTGGATTCTCTACATTACGAATAATAATTTGAACGAATGAGCAACGATCCATTAAGTCGCCGGTCCCAAGAAGTAATGACATAAGAAATAAGTTTAAAGGTAATGTTGTCCCTTTTGCATTGACATCCATTTCTAAATACAACCGAAAGGGAAAATATAATATATGTTGGAATATTCTTTGGTTGTGTGTCAGTGAAACTGTTGATTGTTTAAACAAAAAAGTTTTATTTTTATTTGGGTAGATGAACTCACATTCAATCTGGTGCTAAGTGGTTGTTGGAGCATAGACATCAAAATGTTTATGGCACCACGCACCTTAAAATCAGTTTCAATTTTCTTGTACTAAAATAGATCTACCGCCCTTTCAACTAGAACGCATGACTGGGACGCGGGGGTAAGACTTTATTGTTCTTTTTAAATTAGAAAAAAAGTAAGTGATATAACTTTGTGGCGAGCGAGTTATTTTAAGGTAATATAGACTAGTAGGTACATAATTTAAAATAGTAATTGTAAATCTTTTTCAAGGTATAAAACAAACATAAAACACATAAAAGAAATTAGTATATACCTAAAAATCGTAAATGAAAACACTTTTTTTTATCTAATTACTATATTTGTATAACGATAGGTTTTTCAATGGATTTTTATAGAGCTTAATCATTAGTTATTAGGTTTATCTTTTAAGTGGACACATAGATAAATTAATATTGAAGAAAAATAAAACCTACTACCTGAAAATTGAAAAAAATCATATTCAATCTTATTTAGGATCCGCAGCAGCTTCAAAAGTAGTTTTTACTTTAAAGGAACTTGATCCTGAAATAAAGTTTTTTAAGCATAGTAGCCTAAAAAGTGCCTAAAGAGTGTCTAAAAGAGCCTAAAGAGTACCGGACATTTATAAAAGAGCATGAATCTATTATCGCGCTATGTTATTTTTCTGTCATTAGTTTTGTTCTTTTTTGTGTTATTAAATAGGATTATTGTTCTGTATGTTTTCGTAAATTTAAATGGTAGAGTATATGTTTCATTTTATTATATAGATAACAAATATTATATTTGTTTTTAAGGTATACAACACGACTACTTGAAATAAAGCAATCTTTAGGTAAAATACAACTAGTTAGGTTGATATCTTACTGGTGGTAGGAACTCTTGTGAGTCCGTACGGGTAGGTACCCCACCCCACCTATTTCTGCCGTGAAGCAGTAATGCGTTTCGGTTTGAAGGGTGGGGCAGCCGTCGTAACTATACTGAGACCTTAGAACTTACATCTCAAGGTGTGTGGCGCATTTACGTTGTAGATGCGCCACAACCTTACTCCAGTGGTGAGCTGTGAGATCGCCCATACATCTAAGCAATAAATAAATATATATATCTGGTCATTCGCTACCTACACCACAAGTAGTGCATAAAAACGCAAACATCTCATCTTTGTCGTTTTAGATATATTTGAGTGTTTAAAGGATTGTAGAAATTAAAATATCCATGCAGTTCTTGAGCTAACCGTACACAAAAACAAGTTAAATGGTGTTCCTTTGTAAGCGCATCACCTAAGAACGACTAAAGCGAAATGACAATTTTATTCAAATGTTCATATTAGTCCTAATATATATTATGAGGAAATAAATAACTTGAAAATGTGACATATAGAGAGATTTATTAATCACGTTCCAGGCTACAACAGTTCGTTTGACATTGGAAATAGCTAATCTGGGAAGTGAGTTGAATCGCATATTGTTTGAATTATACGAACACAAGGGACCCGCCATCCCTTCGCTTCGGAAACTGTAATTTCTTATTGATTTTAATGAATGTTATTTTATACAAATCTGGTCCTGACAGTAACAAACACAATAAAAAAATTACATAACAAATGAAAAATCTAATCCTTCCTAAAATTTACTTTTTTTTTTTATTGCTTAGGTGGGTGGACGAGCTCACAGCCGACCTGGTGTTAAGTGGTTACTGGAGCCCATAGACATCCACAACGTAAATGCGCCACCCACCTTTGAGATATAAGTTCTAAGGTCTCAAGTATAGTTACAACGGCTGCCCCACTCTTCAAACCGAAACGCATTACTGCTTCACGGCAGAAATAGGCAGGGTGGTGGTACCCACCCGCGCGGACTCACAAGAGGTCCTACCACCAGTAATCTAAGGTCTCAAGTATAGTTACAACGGCTGCCCCACCCTTCAAACCGAAACGCATTACTGCTTCACGGCAGAAATAGGCAGGGTGGTGGTACCTACCCGCGCGGACTCACAAGAGGTCCTTATAAACTTGCTTGCTTAAAACATCTTAAAACTCATCTGTTAGTTACCTATTTTCATACACATTTGCAACTTAATGATTTGACTTAATGCTTGACATGCATTAAACAGAAAATCGACAAATAATGAAATGCAAAACTGACCAGAGATTACTTTGTCATTTAAGTATCTTGTAGTGGCTTTCCTTCACCTAATGTAATATCTGGAATAGCTGCACTTTAGTACAAGCACAAATATTTATAGGCCGATATTTAACATTCATCATATTTAGTCTTCTCTTCTTTCATTTTACCATAAAACGCAAGATTCATCATAGTTTTTTAACTATCAGCAATACGTTGCTTCTGTATTTTTGAGATATGTTTTAAAAAACCATTAAAATAAGCTTAATATCGAATTTTATCTGTGTGCTGTTTTATAATAAGACTGCATAACTAGTGATAATCCAACGCTTTTCTCGCTTCGTGTCGTAAAAAGCGACTAAGGAATTTTCTGAAAATGAACAGCAGCCTCGACAGGCAATCGGCATTTATTGGTGGTAAGAAGTATTGAAAGTCCGCGCGGGTAGTTATCACTATCTTCCTTCCTTATTTTAAAAGGTTATAATATCATAATAATAATAATGTATAATACACTCAACCATTATATAATAAAGACTTCGAGATCATGTCTCAATGTAGATAGCATAAGTCGTTCTGTGATGTCTATGGAGTCCCATAACCGCTTAACGCAAAACGGGCCTTAGATCGTTCACGCATCCACGCCATAAATAAATAAAAATACATAAACATTATCTTTACGTAACGTAAACATGATAGTTATCTAACAAGCATATTAATCAGAAAGGGTCATTTTGGGGAATAGGTTACGAAAGTGAATGTAAGAAAAGAATAGGAACTAAAAAAAAACAAAAAATACTCCTTTTTTCTATTACTTAAATGGTGGACGAGTTCACAGCCCACCTGGTGTTAAGTGGTTACTGGAGCCCATAGACATCTACAACGTAAATGCGCCACCCACCTTGAGATATAAGTTCTAAGGTCTCAATTATAGTTACAAAGGCTGCCCCACCCTTCAAACCGAAACGCATGACTGCTTCACGGCAGAAATAGGCAGGTTGATGGTACCTACCCGCGCGGACTCACAAGAGGTCCTACCACCAGTAATAAAGGTTAGGGTGTTTTGGAACACACATTATTTATTTTTATTACATACATACACATATTATATATATTTATTATTTAATACAATGTTGGTCGAGATAATACTGAAACCTAGACTCACTGCTTAATTAAAAGAAAAATAATAATAAAGTGTATATTTAAAATGGTCGTCTAATATTTTATAGACTACTAATACATATGTATGTCATAAAAAACTATAACTAGACGCATTTTATCACACGACGATGTTATGCAAATTTAGTTGAAGAATGTTGAATAATATTAAAATTAATTTTATTATTTAGTAATAAATTGTAGTTTTCATCTTTGATTCTAAATTAGTTTTCTTGTTACCAATATGAACGATTATTTTGTAGAACACATTAAATCGATGGGGCCCTTTGACTAGGTACAAAATTTTAATACCCGCGGAAAATCTGCCTTAGACTCCTTAGCTCGTCTTCGCTCAGTGGTCTTTCTATACGTGTCCTTGCTTAAACGAGTTTTAGAATGAATCTTCATTTGTGGTTTGTTTTGCCCCTAGCATTCTTGATGTTCATAGTGGACGCTTACCACTCACTATCAAAACCTGTAGCTCGTCTGTTAATAAATGTTATTAAAAGTAAACAATAAAAGCTGGGTATCGGTCCGGAACCCGTGACACAATGATGAAGGACACTAACTCGTCGACCTACGGGGCAATCGTTTATGCCATTTTCACATACTTATAGTTCCAGACTAGATGAGCGTGCAGACGTGTAAAGGAGGTAAAATGTATTACCTCCTGTATGTGCGCCAATTTATGTCACCGTCTATTATTTGTTTTATATGCTTACTCTGTACATGTGGTGTAAATAAAGAGTTATATTATTGAAGTGAAAACTTCTTTAGAACCGTTGTGATTTCAAACCGGATGCAACGGAAAAAACGACAGGTAAGAGACACAAATACAAAAATGTGTACGATGAAGCCAGCAAAGAATGAGACAGAAATATACATACTATTTAATACAGCGCCATCTGTGAGATTTTTTAATACTAACGTGTGTATGAAAGCTCTTGTAGTGAATTTTAATTTAGGGTTATACGTGAAATTAAAATATCAATTCACAGAGGGCGCTACCTTACAATTATTTACTAATGTCAAAATTTTACATATACTTAAGACGTTTAGGATAATTGTATTTTAATTTTGGAAGGTTTCACTTCTACCACGTGTGAATTGCACACATGTTTTTATTATTATGTTTAACATTAACTGGACTATTTGTTCGATCGCTGGTCTATTTCAATAAATAAAAACTGAAAGTACGGCTAATGTCAATATTTTTAAAGCAAACTTTTCGAAAAGACAAATGAAACAATCAATCACTTGGCCTTAAACTTTTTAATTTATATGAATAATAATGAACAAATAACATGGAATCCCAATTCACGAATGACAAAATTTACTTGCTATATTTTACGATTTAGTCCTGTTTCATTTCCAAGTTATTTATAAGTCGGAGTGGCCGACAATACATTCATGGCCAATCACTGTCAGTTCAATACGGAAACGTGGACGAGAAATGAATGTTCTTAATATTTAGAGTTTACAATTTATTGATCACGATACATAACATAATTCTTAGGGAAAGTAGTATGATCTCAACAATACATAGAGCACAATCTACTTGCCACGTTTATTCCGTTCTACCCTACTTAGATCCATTATAATATGTACATTCACAATCATTGCATCTCTGACAATTTAACTCACGACCCGGGATCTATATAATAATATATTCATATATCTACAACAGATTGTGAGCACGTGGAATAGCATGTTAACCAGCCATAGAACCCAGGATTTGTGGCGGAATGCCACCACCGGGTCCCTGAGAAATATCTGGTTTGAAACCATCTTCGCCAGCTGTATAGTCTATCTCATAAGTTACTCCATCAGGTCCTACCCATGAGTAACTACCTTTCACGGATAGATTTTCGTTTTCTTGACCGAAGTTATTGAGAAATCCTTCCTGCTCATGTCTGATACCATCGGATTGTCTGAAACTGTAACAGTGAAGAATACAAATTAGTGATATAATTCAGTTAACACTTATTTTTAATTGTTTTGATGGGTGAAAGGCTTACCGCAACCCTGGTGTTAAGTGGTCACTGGAGCCCATAGACATTAGCAACACGGATACCGCCACCCACCTTGGGACATGTCTCAAGAATCATGATTCTAACTTTCAGTTTTAAGTACAACAGCTGCTCCATCCTTCAAACCGAAACGAATAACTGCTTTAGAGCCGAAAATAGGTAGGGTGGTGGTACCAATCCGTGCGGGCTTCCACGATGATGCCCTACCACCAGTAGTAGCTCAAATTATATTTTTTACTGGTTTGATTTTTATTACATTTTTCGAATACGTATTTCAATTTTTAATTTTGTTGTACCTGCCTGCGGGATTTGAGCAACGGCACAATTGCACAATTAATACTAGTACATCGGTTGTTTTATGCCGTGGACCAAGACGACTTCAGTTCTAAAGTCGTAGTGAACAGAATAAAAATCTAAAAACGTGAACACGTAAAATTGCTTGACATAAAAGAGCAATAGTGATTTTAAACCAAGAATATCTTGTGGCTTATTTTACCTCATAACGTATAGTTATAAAGTTGTCATTAGGTAGCAAAGCTGTACGACCGTGTTCTTAATTACTAAAAATCGTATTGCAAGACAGTAGACTGCTACTGATTGCCATTTAATAAAGATATTATTTACATACTATTATTTTTAGATGAAAATCAATACGTTTTAAAATGTGAAACAATTAATTTTTTTATATAATTTTTTCTCCATCTAAAAAAAAGAATTATTAACATTAAATTGTTAAAAATAGGGGACATACGAGTAATCGCACCAATCAGAGTTATTCAAATATTTCAAATAAAGTTCAGCATTAGTTCGCAGAACGTGTCTATGAATCCGAGCTTTTTAGCTTTATCTTAAATGCAAGGCTAGCTGGCTTCCATTAACGATGCTTAATGATAACATTAGCGATTTGTTCTTTTAGTGTAATAACTTGGCAGAGAAGGTTACTGTCCATCTGACATTAACACATTGACTGCCATGTAGGTCACGGGTGCCCTACGCGACACACTATAGTAATTACATCGCTCTTCGATCCTCTTAATAAAGCGCCGGAATATTTAGTAGACTCTGGGAAATGCGTTTTAGTCCTCTTAGAAATAGTTCTCGGTATTTTCGGATTCATCTTTCCCAGAGTCTACTAAATATTCCGGCGCTTTATTAAGAGTATCGAAGAGCGATATAATTACTATAGTGTGTCGCGTAGGGCACCGGTGACCTACATGGCAGTCAACGTGTTAGGCAGTCGCATATTCCCACAGACAACATAACTTGCGCGATACGTGATTAGAGTACGTTTTAGTCCTCTTAGAAATAGTTCTCGGTATTTTCGGATTCGTCTTTCCCAGAGTCTACTAAATATTCCGGCGCTTTATTAAGGAGATCGAAGAGCAATATAATTACTATAGTGTGTCGCGTAGGGCACCAGTGACCTACATGGCAGTCAACGTGTTAAGCAGTCGCAGATTCCCACAGACAAGATAACTTGCGCGACACGTTATTAGAGGATTGTAATGTGACTTACCCAAATTTGTAACTTCTAAATTTACTTTCGTAATTTTGGTAAAGTATACGAGCGTTTTGGTTAGAATCGAAGGTCGGAATTTGGGCAGCGATAGCTACTGCTATCAAACTCAATAATAGTACCTGTAGAAAAAATCACAATCAATCCTTATAAGGCCCTTTAAGAGACAAATAAACGAGGCCGGATCGCCAGATTAAGTGCGAATACCATTTAATAGTCGAAGAAAATAATGAATTCAGTTTATAACGCCAGTGAGTGACTACCAAAAAATATTGAACACACAAAAGTATTCTAAAATATTGTCTTAACTTTTTATTGCTTTGGGTGGGCGATCGTCATCCAACGTTTTTGCAAATTACATCGTCGACCAAGACGATGAGGCAACACGCAAGCGCTGTCGCCCTTAACAAGTCATTTTAACCCACACACACAACTTAACCCACAGACACAACCCACTAATTTTCCTACCAGATCTTCTCAGTGGGTCAAGACTCAGATCCGGTGGTAGATTCAGCGAGGCACTGCTCTGGCTAGGGCGGATGATAGAATACCCCAGGATGAGCCCCGTGAGCTCGCCCACGAATTAAGACGAAGCCAGAATAGCCTCTCGGTGTAGTGGGCAGATATAAAGATAAAAAAATATATTTTAAGCTTTTATCGCTGGCCTTGAGCGCGGCGACTGAATCATGAAATTCCGTAACGAAAAAAACCTAACACCCCTCACTCCGCCTACCATGTAGCTCGCGTTCAACACATTCATACGTTGCGCTTGTGTAGTGTTTGTGAATAAGCGCGTGGCGTAACGTCACACTGCATGCGCATCATGAAAAGTCTACCCATCTCTCTCTCGCGCGGTCTAGTTTATGAGTGTGAGGGGGACAGTTAATGTTTTGCTTTTATTAATGTTTAATATAGCGTGGTCTTGTTTTATTATCGTTTTAATATTAAATTATCATTGTCTAATTATAATTGCATAAGTTGATAAAAAAAGCTATGCAATAGCTTTACCGCGGCAGTTCCCGAGTGCCACACGTTTGTTTTTAATAAAATTTCTATGTTACTAACACATTAGTTTGGAACATATTTTCAAAAAGGAACTTAGGGACTCATTAATATAATCATATAAAGTTTAAATATAAACTTACGAACCAGTTTCATTTTTAAATGGCCGTTCTGATGAATTTACTGAACTGGGAAGGACTATGATTTAACTGAACAATGCGGTCCTTTTATATTGCGTACAGTCAAGTTTTTACTCTATTTTTCTAGAAAAAGATTTCATGTCGCGGAAGAATAACAGGTAATTATTGCTTTTGTATATATGTACATAAAATATGTGTTTGTGCAGCCTTCCTTTTATAGACATATTAAGGGTTAAAGTATAAAATTGCCGATTTGTACTGAAAAATTGAAATTCGTTTTTTTTTTCATTTAACATATTCATTTAATCAAACTATCTACCATTATTATCTATACATTGCTACCATCTGATAGGAAGGTCATTTATGCCTTCGTGATAGAACTCTGGTGAGCTTTTTTTTTATTGCTTAGATGGGTAGACGAGCTCACAGCCCACCTGGTGTTAAGTGGTTACTGGAGCCCATAGACATCTACGACGTAAATGCATATTGTACCGCATCCTAGGAAGAAAACTTTTATTACGTAGAAAATTGTCCAAATCACGAAAAAAATGGTAGTCCGTTGGAGCAAGGTCTGACGAATACGGAGGGTGACGAATGATTTCTAATTGAAGTTCCTGTAGAGTTAAACGGTTTCTCGTGTTATCTGAGATCTCGCGTTATCATGGAGCAATGGGTAGTTTGGCTCGGATCGGCTGCAACCATCTCTTTTAATTATTATTCATTGTTATTCACATGTGTGGGCGATCTTCCATGTGGTTCGTTCCTCAAATCAAAATTTCCATCACGAAAGTGTTTAATCCAAAATCACACGGTGCGTTCATTAGCAATCCCTCTCCAAGCGTAACATTGATGTTGCGAGCTGTTTCTGCAGCGTCAGTAATGCGTCGGAACTCGTATTTAAAAAACACTCGAATTTTCGAAGTATCAGTCTTTTTTGTCTATGGTGAATTAAAAAAAAAAACAACTGAATTCGATAATCGAATGTTGCACATTTTTTAAAAGAAGAATCTCATCTCTCACCATTTGAAAAAGTTTCACTCAAAAATCTCAAACCATGAAGGTTCTATGTTGAAGTACTTATTACAATAAAACGGTAGTTTCATACTTTAGCCCCTATTATTACAGAACTGTATGAGAGAGTCTTATTATACTACACAATTGAGACTTAGACCTCATGTCTCAAGGTGAGTGAAGGTATGCACGTGTAGCGATGTTTATGTGTTCCGATAACCAGCTAACATCATTTAAGCAATGAAAAAAATATGCCTAACAAAAACCTAGAACAGACTAAGAACTGTACTCATTCCAAATGTGGTTTGTGTATATTGAACACAATCCAACACGAGTCTAATTGCGAACCAATTGCTAATTGTTCAATAATTTGAAAATTACATGTTATTAATATCGTATGAATTAATTCGAATAAGAAGCAGTCAGTTCTATGCATAGTTAAGTAAGCTTATTAGATTATTTATTGTTCTGATGGCACGATATACTATTTCATAGTAGTAGTAGTAGTAGTAGTAGTAGTAGTAGTAGTAGTATAGTAATAGTAGTATTATAGTAGTAGTAGTTTCATTAATTCATAGTAGTATAGACCACAAATGAATAATGAACGAACCGACCATAATGAACCAACAACAAAAATAACTTCTCAAAAAAATAGCTTGACGAGAGTTTATTAAAGTTTCAACGAGAATACGTTTCAGACTCAGTCTTACCGTACTTTTAACTATGTATAGGTATACCTCAACCTGTATAGGTCAACCTATTTTACTTAAATATTAACACGGTCAATGACCTTGTAATTGATAAACGAAGGTAGTAGTGATGATTTGAAGAGTAGGACAGACGTTATTACACTGTAAAGATTATGACCTAATCTCTTAATGTATTAGTATTCTTATCGCTTTTCCCCCACATAATCGCTAATAGCAAAAGGAGCTATTCCAGTTTCTCACGGACTAGTAGGCGAGCTCACGGGCTCAATCTGAGAGAGTTTACTAACACTGGCCCTAACAAGAGCAGTGATTAGCATAATCTACCACCGGATAGGAATCACGACCCTATGAGAAATTCCGTCAAAAAACTCAGTAGGTTGTGCCTATGAGCTAAATCATCAGCATAGCATCTCAAACTCTCCATTGAAATCATCGACAGCTTAACGAAGACTGTGGTCGGTGCTTGTAAAGCCTAAAAGTATCGAGAGCAGACCGAGAAGAAATGTAATTATATGGATCCCAGAAGATATATTTTGAGCGATGGCGGTTTTGCGTTTTCCCGTCGCCTGGATCGGATATGTAATTAGCAGCAGCCATGATAGGAGGGTTATCGTGTCGCGACGTTTTATCATAGTAATTATCGCTTATGAAGCTGGACGAGCACAAGATTTTTATTATAATTTGATCACAGCAACACTGGCCATATCTCGTAGAATAAATACGAGAGTGTGTATGCTGGTTTTGCCAGCAGCTTATAGACCAGAGGATGATGCATGCAACTGTTTACCGGGGAATATAATATAACCTTTTTGATTATTTCTGAGTTATAATTTTAACTCGTGTGTAAGCACGGGTCACATATGGCCAAATCTAAAGGCGAAATTATATACACTAGAATACTATTCCATAAAATTTATTTACATTGTCATAATTATTGTACTATTTACAGGAGGCAATATTTTCTAATTATATTTATGTAATTTAGCCGACGAGGGAAGCTATGACCGCTGGCGGTATTGCTCCTCCAGCTCCTTGTTGGATTTGTGGCTGGAAACCGTTCTCGTCGGCGATGTACGTAACAGTATACGTGATTCCGTCAGGTGCCACCCAAGAGTACTGTCCTTGAACCGATATAGCTTCATTTTCTGTACCTTGGTTTTTCAGTTGACCCTGTTCTTGGTGTTTACTGCCATCCGACAGCTCCCAACTAAAACCAAGAATATTATATATTTCACAGTCACACAATACAAATTTAAACATAGATCCGAGTGAAAGATTACTAACGCAAAGTCGTAAGCGTTCAAGCCATCGTTGTTGCTGTCATAGCGAAGGATCTGTACGTCCTGAGGGTTTTGGGGAGCAGCCGATGCTACGGCGACAAGGGCGACGATCACGAACTGAAAAAAATATTAAAAAACAAATTTTAAAATCCTGATTCCTGATTCTGATCCTGATTTATAATCTGATCCTCCGTTCACAAACACTTTTAGCAATCACATTCACGTTATTGCTGATTTCACTTCACTTTTCCTAGTACTGACCAGTTTCATTTTTGTTTTGCTTTTGTTTTGAACAACCTTCTTTTGCAGAAAGCACTTGACGTGTGGTATGAATACGTATTCAAACGTTCCTCTTATATACGTATGGATCTCTTCTAATACTTGGTTGCAACACCCCGTTTGAGCCGGCGTTGCTTCTTAGTACGCAGCATCTATCGCGGTACACTCGGGTGAACGTCGCTGTACGTACACACAATTGACTTAATCTGTGTGAGTGAGTGTTTGTAAACATTTAATTTGACCCATGCAACTCATCTTTAGTAATACGTGTATAAATGTCAATGTTAATACATAATATAAAAGGTCACAATATCATTTTACACACAATACATGATTATTAAAAGTTTACGGGGTCTGTAATTTCGTAGTTATAATATATGACAAATTATCATTACACTTCATACGTAAAGTTTTGCTTTGATAAATGTGTTGTTAATGTGTTCCTATTTAGAAGAAAAGCGTAGCTACAATAATCACTGATTAGTCTTCATAATGAGAAGCCATGAAATGCTCTTGTGAGAATTGGAACTCTTATTTCATCTTAGCCATTAATGAGTTACATAATTAGGCACCGATATAACATTACGCATTTTAATGGTTTAATTGAAAAATTAGCATTTGTAACTCTTTGTTCTCGTCGTATTGAATTTCAAAGGTAAAATAGCAGCAGAAACAGTAGCAGATATTAAGGTGGTAAAGATGAAATATCTTGAACAGTTCGACGATAATTGTTTTTTAATTACTGAAATTCGTCTATGTATAAACACAAACAACAACACAGGTATATTATACCTTTATACATACAGGTTTATATATATTAAGTATGCAGAAATTATAATAGAACAATATTAAAAAGAACTAGTGAGCAGGGTTAGATGGGATACTTTTGTTTTGCACTCTTAGCCAGAATGTTGTGCCCATCAAACTAAGTTGAGCGTTTGATTTTAATCGATAAAGCATTCCGGTTATTCAGTAGCATTTTCCTAACCCTTAATACAAAATACGGTAATAATGATCCTATTTTAACAATAAGCTCTTTCCAGGAACCCTGTTCTGATGAATGAGAACGAAAGCGAGCTTATAAAAGATAAAAGATATGGCTCAAATATCCATGCTTACGGTACGCACGGTAGACAGCGGCTTGGCTCTGCCCCTGGCATTGCTGAAGTCCATGGGCGACAGTAACCACTCACCATCAGGTGGGCCGCATGCTCGTCTACAAGAGCAATAAAAATCCATGTTCAATGAATTTTCTACTATTCACGTGATTTGACAGTAGACAGTATTTTTGAAAAATCGCTTAACTTATTCGTAGATTATCTATATATAAATACGTGAAGCAAAAACTTTGTACCCCTTTTTACGAAAGTTGCACGGACGGAGGAGTATAAAATTTCTCACACTTATAGAGAATATACAGAAGGAGTGCTAATATTTGTTTAAATTATGCATAAAAAATACATTAAATCAATAAAAAAAATATTACACACACTACCATGTATTTGACACATACACGCATACATACTATTTTTGTTTATTGTCAATTTTTTCTTATTGCGTATAGTCTGTGATCAAATTGAGAATAGATTAAATATTGTTTGTCTTTATTAATATTTGATTAACAAAATGTAGTCTTTGAGAAATCTGTGATTATATATAAGTATAACAATCAGATGATAGAACCCTAATAAAGTTCAAACTTATAATTTAAATTAATTATAGTCGAATTTCTACTACCGGGGGAACACTAGTATTCATAATATTGCGAACATTTTAATATAGTATATTACATTTAATACAATACTATTTTTGCTTATGTGGGTGAACGAACTCTCGGTCGAGCAGGGATGAAATGATTATCTGGGCCCATAGACATTTCAACATAAATACCACAACTCTTGATAACTGAAGCCAAAATATCAATTAAATCATGAAGGGGGGTGCTGCTCTCATCTCTAGGCTGGGGGTCTCAAATACCAGCTACTTCCATTTCAGTCCACACAAAGCCGTTAGGGTTGTCAAGAGTTCATATGGATTGTTTGAGCCTCTAGGTCTACGGAGGTTCTTTTTTACTTATTACTTTGATGAGTGATGGCCCGGAAGCCTTTCTAGTTTCACTAGGACAGGCGGGCGAGCACGGGCGGCAAGCACGTCAAATTCTAATTCCGTTTGAAAGAATCCTTTTTTATTATATTATTTTTGCTTAGATGGGTGGACGAGCTCACGGCAGACTCGATGTTAAGTGGTTACCGGAGTCCATAGACATCTACAATGTAAATGCCGCCACCCACCATGAGACATGAGTTGTAAGGTCTCACTTTTAACAGTACAACGGCTGCCCCGCCCTTCAAACCGAAAGCATTACTGCTTCACGGCACACTTATCAACAACTTAAGGATCGCTGCTTCAAGAAATCGTCTACCGCCGGATCGGAACCACGACCCGCTGAAATGATCCGGTGAAAACTCAGCAGGCTGATGCACTGATTGTATGTCGAACTATTTGGCGACTTCAACTAGTTACCAGAAACCTTAAGACTGCTCCTACTGCTAGAGCTGCAGGCGTCTATTAATAGAGTTAGTGGATCGAATGAAATTCACCGTATTTTATTGTCTTTAAAGCTTGATGGGTAGACGGCTGAACACCGCCAAGGACAAGAAGAAGTGGTGTACCTTAGGGGAGGTTTTTACCCGAAGGAGAAGATAAAGAAATAATGTAAATAATATTCAATAATAAATTAATATAAGAAGCTAACTTTTTAATCCTAAACTAACTTTTTAAACTTTTTAATAAATAAAAAATTAATAATATATTATTATCTATTAATGAATGTTCAAATTGTTTGTAATTAAGTATCAATTATTTTTGTATGGAATAAAGAAAGCTTTATTATTATTATTATTATTAAATCTTGATGCTGATTATTCATTTAAATCAGAAATAGTAGAGACACAGGCAAGTCTACTTCCCCACTATTCCATCTTAGTACTAGAATCTGGAATAGTATTCCTAATGCCTGTCTTATTTAGTAAGTATGACACCATAAGGCGTCAACATTGACGCTATTGTTCTGTCTATATCTGACGTGCAATAATCATCCTTTTCATTTTCAAGGATGACATAGTCATTATTTCAGTGTAGTGGACACTTCTATCTATTATCTTTACGTGAGAGGCAGCTTATGACATAAGCGATTGCTTATCAGTAATTCCTAACCAAACTAATTGAGATAGATAATGGTTAATTTTCAGACTGCCTTCTATTTTGGAAGCGTGAGTTTTTTAAATTTTTATACCTGAATTCAACACTATACATCGAATATGATGATGTTGGACCAAAATGCGTTGTCTTGTTTAAATAAAAAATGATATATCCAGAATTAAAATTATCAATAGAACGTTGTGTTATAAAAGGCACATGTTCTTTTGGCATGTCTGTCACTTAAAGAGTATCCATTGTTATTATTGATCTCAATGTTAAACATAGATGGGGTGGAGTTACAGTTATATAGATTACATTAACAGTTATATAGAAAACATTGATTTGTTTTTAATGTTTTCACGATTGTAATTGTAGGCGATTTCTTAAGCGCAATTTTAATGCCTGTGATAAATGTTAAAATCGGTGCTTAAACATTTTTGGACCTCATATTTTCCGCAAAGATTTAAAATCTTATTCGCTTTTTTTTAAAATTCAGTTTGCATACCGAATTATAATTACAATTTTATTTTAATAAGTGCATATAAGCTAACATTATAAAAAGCTTTGCCACTGTCAACAATGAAGAGTAATTGTTCATTCTTTCACAAAAACAAAAATATTCTTGCGCATTGAATTTTAATGTAATTGTATTATAATGAATATTGAGGTCAAAAAGCTTAACAAACATTTAAAGATGCTTAAAACTTTGTATAAACGAATTATGGAATGTTAACCTTAAAGGCACGGACATTATAAGGTTATGAAAATGCATCTAAATATTCAATTCGACCTTTAACATTTCAATTGGCAGATGCCAGTTGGAAAATGATGCGCAAGCCATAGCATTCAAATAAAAAACACTCTAATTGCGTTAAACGTAAAGTTCAAACTGTTGAATGTGCGTGGATTATTATTAATGAGTGTACAAACCACAGTGCTTAGTCCACAGAAAAGGCCAAGGCTTCACGTTTCGCGCTGATAATTTGTGTCCAATTGGTTTTTGATGAGAATACGTAAATACGGCACGCTTAAGTTTTAATAATTTTCGTACATATTCATGTGAATCGAAAAATTTACGGATTTAATGTTTAGTTTCTTGATTGCAAAAGACTATACGCCGCGTTTAGTCGGTGTGCTAATCATTTGACGGATCATGGATGCGGTTGGTTTTTATCTCTGTAACCCGATCGTTTGTTCTAGGTAATCATTATGTCAAGTCATCCGTTCTGTGTAACTCCCTTGTAAAAACTACTTTGTATTAGGAAAGTATAACCGGATATTTTGATAGACGAACTTGACCTTCTAAATTATTAGAACAAGTCTACCGATTCCGCTTAAGTTCTTCGGATTAATATTCTAGAATGCGAATGCGACTTTTTTCCTGTGCCTTTTTCCTGATGATTGTATAATTAATGCCAACATTAAAGGAGGTCGTTGCAATATTTTGTGTGTATTAGCTAAGTTGTACGGCAGTTAGATCTCAACCGGTCTGCTTACGTCAGAGTCTGTTGAACCCGTAACAGCGAAGATGACCTCTGACTCCACGTTTCCCTTAAAGATGTCAGCAGTTACAAATATTTGGGTATTCTACAATTCTAGTTTTCATTCATTTATTAGTAAGAAGGCTAAAATAAGCAAGTATATAGTGTTTTACATACAAGGCCAGCATGATATTTATGTCACCAATATCGTTTTGTTATGTAAGACGAAATTCTTCTTCGGTCAAGTTTCAAGTGTATGTGATAATGTTTGTTTATCGTTACATCATAAAATATTTCAAAGATCACTGATTATTTAATGACGTCATTTTGTAATTTAAATAAATTGTTTGTTTTAAGTAGTTGACTTTTTTTGTTTATTCCAGCAATTAGTGACGCCACTTAAACAATGTAATGTGTCGTCAATACTGAAAGTATATACTTATAAAATACATAAATATGTTCCCTGATTTATGTAGTTGGACTTGCAATTGCCACGATGATATCTCGAGGAAATCACTAAGCTGTTAAAGATGGTGGCTACAAATATGGCTTGCTTCACTGTATGTCATTGTTTATGTATGTAAAATTATTTGTATAATAATAATAATAATCTAATCTGGAGAATTTTTAGATTTGCGTAGTTACCCAAGGGGGATGAGCGCATTCACGTTTTGCTGTTTGATCTCTGGTAACTGCTTAACATCAAATGGGTTCATTCGGATATCTTTATAATAAAAATACGTTATGTTCTGTTATAAGCCAGGTAAACATACAATGCTTAATTATAATAAGAAGTCATAATGCATTGCAGTTCGAAGATTAGGACAACTGTATTAGTGACAGTTATTAGTTATTATGATTATTATTATTATTATTATTATTATGACACTTCCATTTTTTTTTTAAATATTTTCGTCAATGAAAAACTAGTTTACCGCCCACCTAATTTTAAACGATTACCGTCGCACATAGAGAATATTAATTGGACTCCTTTGAATTCCTTATTATTATTATTACTTTGATTATTGAAGAATGATCCCTTGAAGACGAGAATGAAGAAAATGGCTGGTCTTGAACAAGGAAACACTTGCGATATACAAGATATGAGTTCATTGCTAAGCCAAATGATATTCGGCTGACAAGTAGTGCAATATTTAGTCGAGAATCTAAACGGACCGCTCCTATGTATGTACTATATTATACATTATTGGTTACAGCATTATCAATCGGAAATAATTGGTGCCAGGTAAATTCAGGATAACAGTAAAAATTGGCTTCTAAAATTTTAGGTGTCATTAACAGAGTGCACTAGTGCAATATGCGAGGCAGATCTCGGATCTTTAATTACAAAAAAAAATGATATTGTAATTTAGCCACTATACTGAGACCTTAGAACATATATCTCAAGATGGGTGGCGCATGTACGTTGTAGATGTTTATGCGCTCCAGTAACCACTTAACACCAGGTGGGCTGTAAGCTCGTCCACCTATCTAAGCAATAAAAAAAATTAGTCACTAAGCAGGCTGATCGTAACAATGTCAACAAATAAAATTATAAGCAAGGGCTGTCGACCCAAATTCGTAGGATAAGGACAAGAAAAATAAATGAGAAATGACACCTGAAAAAAATTATTACCGTGACAACATTTTATGGGCTTTCATTATACACAAGAGAAATTTTGTATTTCTTGGTTTTATCAACGTCAAGGTTTAAATTCAGTCGTATTGCACAGTAAAATTACTCCCAAGTAAAAGTAATATATCAGAAAATGACATATTTACTAAGGAACGAACAATAAATCATAACGTAATAACTGTGCCATATATACTTAACACAATATATAAAAAGATTTATATCGATTTTGTCGAAGATCAAACGTCAGAGACGAGCTAAGCACGTCTGTCATTTTTAAGATTGCAAATTGCAATGAATCAAAATTTCATCACGGTCTACGTGATCTGTGGGCGTCGTTTTAACCATTTTAGCATTCGTTCATGGGAAATACATATAGTTTAGCAGCAAAGAGAACCAACGTAAAAGCATCCGGGTACCGCTTGAAAAAAAAATTTATTTGTTATACAACGTCTATTGTGTTCTAAGTCGAAGCTTCGTACTGATAATATCTAAAAAAAAGGGTGCGTGTACTTATGAACGCGCGTAAGAAGTTATACTTTATTTTTATTTAAAAAAAAAATCGATTAAGCAATATCCTCAAACACGCATATTGGACATCCCTTTTCTTGACATCGTATAAATTCGGTAATTCTCGGTACGGCTCGCTAAGTTCACCTGCGGCTATATTCAGACTCGCCAAGTTACGTCGTTCGTATTGTAATGAGCGATTTAGAGGGCAACTTCATTCTGTTAATTTTGTGTCACGGTGCGCGCGCACCGTAAAGTTTCACTCTCATCAATTTTTCATAACGCGCCTAAAGAAGTATAACTTCAAAAATCGTAATTGGAACGATCGTCTTAAATGGACAATCGACATCGGTTCAAAACTCTTGCTAGTTTACGCACAGAGATAAAGAGGTGCCGCCTTCTTACCAGCATCGCAAGTACTTGGGCACACAGTTAACCCAAGATAACGGTCAATATTTAATTGAGCGAACTCTGGTTAAAATTGCATAAGTAAATATGTGACTAACATCAAAAAGATTATGGAACCGACGTATTTTGAGAACACGCAAATTTCGAGACGCTAATTACGCTACCACTCGTAATTACGCAAATAAGAAATCAATTCGTTTCTAAATTTGAGGATTTTAAATAAGCTTTTTTCAATCGTGTGAATTTTTTTATTGACGTTCAAAGACAGAAGGTATTATGACCCATTTGATCTTTAATATGAACTATCGCTTAAGGAGATTCACAATAACTAGAGCATTATTTGTAGTTTTACGCTAACCAATAACTTAGTATTCGTTTCCGCTCAAAATTCATAGTCTGGTGCGTCGTAGCATAGAATAATAATTTTATTTAAAAATAATATCATGTTTTTCAAAATGAAGCGACGACCCTGTCCAGTTCATCTTCGGTGAAACACAGCAACATTAGGCAGTAGACTCGGCGACGGTCCGTATGACTTTCTTTGTTTCTTGACATATAATATGCATTCTCTTCAGGTGAGTACCGTTCGACATCAATTTTGCAAATCTAAAGCAAAGTTAAATGGATATTATGTCACGTTGATGTTACATGCTATCTCTGAAATATGATCCTATACTTTTTCAGAGAGAGACAGAGATAGAGAGAGAGAGTGAGAGAGAGAGACAGAGAGAGAGAGAGAGAGTTTGTATACTTTATTGTACACCAAAACATAATTAGCATTGAAAATCAGTCAACACGCTGCTATAATTTGTACTATAGATTTAGATTTGTATTGATTCAAACGATCTCTTCCAGATAACCGTTTCCACCAAGGGAAAAATATACGACATGTTTGAATAGGATCTTTTCATGATTAAATATATTCCATTTGTACCTTTTTATTTCCGTTGTTGTAACAAACTAATTCTTCGAAATGACTGTTTAGCTTTGTTTTTGGATTCTTGAAATACCTTTCCAATTCATTGAATCGGCCTAAATGCTGTAATTAATATTTGATTATTTACAAAATTTGATATACATCAATTGCATATGCATTATTAGGGATAATTTAAAAACCACTGCTCAGATCGTGTTAAAATTTTACCACATGAGAAGTACTTAATGCTTTCAAATAATCTTCAAAAACGATTGAGTCGAATTGAGTATGTATTTCATTATTTTTTGCATTATTTTTTATATATAAAAATAAAGACCATCTTAGCCTGGTAAACGTTTACGAGGCTTTAAAGTCACAAGGAAAACGAGTTTACAGACCATCTGATAGCACCTAGTTAGTTTTTATCCGCAATGCCAAGGACACAACCAAACCAATGCCTACCATTAAAATGCAAATTTACTGCTTAAATTAAAATAATCAAGCCATTGTGCAATTTGATGAACGTAGACAATATCTTTTAAAACACATGCATAAATAAAATAGATTTGTTTGTTTGTTCGTGTGTTCTCGTTTAAGCCTGGTTTATTTTATCCGAAGTGAGCTTCTTACTTTTTGATAGTATCCAGGAATGGCAGAAATACAGTATGATCAAATTTCGATAGTCGGTTTGCTGTGTAGTAATTTCAAAAGAAGTTATCGCATAAATAAGCGAGTAACTAACTGGTAAATTGTTTTAGTAATCTTTTTGTGTTTCTGAAAAATTGGTATTTGTACAATTTTTTTATTTTTATTTTTTTTAGTAGATATCTGTCGGCTCCAGTAACCACTTAACACCAGGTGGGCTGTGAGCTCGTCCACCCATCTAAGCAATAAAAAAAAAATTGCATAGACGGGTGAACGAGCTCACAGCCTACCTTATGTGGTTACCAAAGAAGGTGGGTAGGTGGGGTACCATAGGGTGGCGCCCATAGACATCTACAATGTAAATGCCGCCACCTAACTTGAGATATAGGTTTTAAGGTCTCAATATAGTTACATCGGCTGCCCCTTCAAACCTAAACGCATTACTGCTTCACGGCAGAAATACGCAGGGTGGCGGTAACTACCCGTGCGGACTCACAAGAGGTCCTACCACCCGCAAAGAAATCTAGTTAACTAAAACGTACTTCTGCATCGACTGAGCCGCTTCTCCTTATTGTGTCCTGAGGGAACTCAGCCGGAAATATACGTCTCAGCTCAACGTCTTCACTGGAATTACAAAACTGTTTTGATGCAGCGTTGATCAATAAAATTATGAATAATCAAATGGTTTCGAAATCACTCACTATGTGTAGATTACTCCATCGCTCGTTTTGATTAGTACATGAAGAGCCTATAAGCAAATATAAATAATTATAGGGCACTCGTGTGTGTGATCCGTCTGTGCAAGCCTCGTAGTGGGCCTAAGATATTTGCGAAATCAAAATCCACTAAAATCAGACATTAAATAAGTAACCACTGGTACCAACTGGTGGTAGGACCTCTTGTGTGTCCGCGCGGGTAGGTACCACCACCCTGCCTATTTCTGCAGTGAAGCAGTAATGCGTTTCGGTTTGAGGGGCGGGGCAGCAGTTGTAACTATACTGAGATCTTAGAACTTATATCTCAAGATGGGTGGCGCATTTACGTTGTAGATGTCTATGGGCTCCAGTAACCACTTTACTCGTTAGGTGGGCTGTGAGCTCGTCCAACCATCTAAGCAATAAAAAAAAAACTAAAAAAAGGATACTATAAAATTATTATGTTAGCTTTGTAAGACGTTTTTTGGTGCGCGATTAATATGATATCTTAAATACTTTTTGAATGTGGACATTGCCTTACAGATGCGATACTTACGAAACAGGTTAAAGCGTATGTTGCAAATTTGTACATGGCTTTACGATATATTGATTCTTAAGCAAAATCCGAAAATAATTTCAGTGGCGAAACGTTTTGCAATATTGAGAATTTCACGTTCATACAATAAATAAAAGATATTGTTAAAATATACGACTTGTTTTATAGGCTAGTGCGAAATGAAATTTGTTTTGTTATTTGACTTCTGCGACATATTTAGATTGTTGGTTGTATTCTTGAATGTATTATTGTTCACTGGACCATTTAAATTGTAAAAATGTTTTTTTTTTTTAATTTGTACAGTTTCTGACAAATATGAAAATAATAAGGAGAAAAATTAAAGTAACATTGTATTTATTTTTATTTGTACTAATGTGCCAAGGCGGGATCTTGAACTATAATATAGAGTAAAGAAGACAGCTTTTGAGGTGTGAGGTCATCAATGCTATGTACTGACTGGGCTTCTCAAAGCAAACTTGCAGCTTGAGAAGCCCACTATAAACTAATGTATTACATTGATGGCAAATAGAAGCAGATGGCGAGATACAGCTACGGAAACGATATCAGACATGACCACATCGCCACATCAAAGAATTCGACAGTAAGTTGATACAAAAAAGAAAAATCTCGTCTGAGTTATTTTGAATCACACATAATAAGATATAACCTTCAGCTTACTTCGTTATAAACGAAAGCGGTAATGAGCAAATTCGAATTTTAGGTGAAGGTTCGTGTAAAATTTTAAGAACATTTCGGTGTTGAGCTTCTCGCTGAACGAATACTCGGAGGCTCAGCTACGGGTTTTATCTTATCTTATCTTTTTTATACCTTTAAACGAGCAATTCTTGTATATATATATAATCTGAATCTCGGAAACGGCTTCAACGATTTTCATAAAATTTAGTATACAGGGGATTTCGGGGGCGATAAATCGATCTAGCTACAATTTATTTTCAGAAAATGTTGTTTTATTCGTGTTTTCAATAATCAACTCTTCCCGACATCTATTGGCGAATAATAATACTGTTTTTCTTAATTGAGGGCAACTAACCGCTTTAAAGACACAACAAGATGGCATTATAAAAAAAAAACGAGCAAAGTCATCATATAGTTATTATAAATGTTAGGAAAATAGCTGTAAATATTACGTTATAAAAAATAATAATTAAAGTACGGGTAGCCCTATTACATGGTAGATACGTTCCTACAAAGTCCCGTGTTGTGCTTACCGTGTTATACCGAATACTGAACCGTGTTATATGAGACTAGAAGCCAGTACAAAAAGAAGACTAATTTTTCTGAATGAAGTTCTGAACTGAGTGGAACCGTGTTGTAAAATACCGTGTTATAAGAGGTTTGCCTGTATATTAAAATCAAACCAAGATTACTATTTAGTAGACAGAAGTAAATTCTTCAATTTTAATCATTAAAACGCTTTATTTACAATAATTTGAATTTATATTTTTTTTTTGTTTTTGTTTTTGTTAAATTTAATCATTTAAATAATATACATTTTAGGTTTGTGTGTATTGTATTATATTTAAACTATGTGTTATTGGACATAGGTATTGTACCAAACATGTACAAATAATAGCGCAATATCAACAGAGAGTATACTCACTAAATATATTTAATATTGATTGTTTCAATAATGATTAAGAATAATGAATTTCTTTATTTTTAATTGGAGAATCGATTTGCTTTACTGTTATGGTATTAAGTGGTCAGTGGCGCTTAACATTTGTCCAAGTATCTTCGGAAAGGACAGAATACATTAATTACACGCTTAACAAGTACTTAAATGAGTCCTTTACACTTTTTTATAAATAAAAATCCAGCGCTATATTTATGTTCTCAGCATACAAAATACTTGTCCAGAGAATATAGATTTTTAATTAAAATTTTGGTTGACTTTGATGGGAACCTGAAACAGTTTTGATCACTATCCACTTGTTTTCAATATGTGCTGTTCAATGTGTATAAATATGACATGATATTTAGTACGCAATAAACACCGGCTACTTTATAATTTAAAGTCAAAGGTCGAGGAAATTGAAGGAAGTTAGTTGCAAAATCTTTATTTCACTTTGTGCGTGCAAGCAGTGAAAATAATCGGAATTTCATTGTCACTGCAATTGTTTTACTCGTCAAACTGGAACGCGTAAAGGTTTCGATCTTAATAAGCAAGGCAGGCAAGGCAAGGCACTATACCAGTGAGGTATATTATACGTCTAACTATAAGTAATTAATGATACTAGTGGTCCCGCAGTAGTCGAAATTCGACTATAATTGATTGAAATTGTAAGTTTGTACACTATTATGATTCTATTTTCAAAGACAATTATACTTCTATAATCAGAAATTTCGCCAAGACTACACTATAGAAAAATATTAATAAAGACAAACAATATCTATTCTCAATTTGACCACAGACGTCAAGAACAAAAGTTTGACAATAAATAAATAGTATGCATGCGTGTGTGCGTCAAATACATGGTAGTGTGTGTAGTGTTTTCTTTATTGATTTAATGTATCTTTTATGCATTATTTAAAAAAATATTAGCATTGTGCACTTCTTCTCTATATTCTCTATAAGTGTGGAAAATTTCATACTCCTCCGTCCGCGCAATTTTCTTAAAAAGGGATATAAAGTTTTCGCTTCACGTATTAATATATAGATTCAAAGACGTTCGCTTAGAAAATAAACAAATGACATAATACAACACCCACGTTCGACTATTCTCAAAGGACGTTCTTCGAAGATTCGACATCTTTAAAATAAGAATAGTTGTATGTTTTTTTTATTAGATGACGATATTCCTTAATCGCCGAAGTTGTTCGTGAATTTATGCCTTGTATGTATTTTCTTTAAAAATTTGACACTTGCTTGGGGGATTTGATCATCGATTTATAATTGCATCGCTTGATACGAATACTCCGTGCGGTTTACCTTTTAGGACATGAGTAGTTTTATCTGTTCCTCTTGAAGGTCGTTTTTGTTCTACGAAAGTTTAATAAAGTTCAGAGATAATTAAGATATCTTTATTTTAACCTTAATTGGGTTTGTTTACAGATTTTACAAAATGACCAACATATTATTATATTCAATATCCTCGAACAGAAATCTCAGACTTAGAATATAGATTTCCTAAGCTTGCTTGGATTTGCGGACGAACTCACGGCCCACCCTGTGTTAAGAAGGTACTGGAGCCCATAGACATCTTCATCGTATATTTATAGTCACTCACATTGAGACATGAGTTTTAAATCTCAGTTTTGCAATACAAAAGTTGCCCCAACCTAGTAACAACAGGCATGGCGGTAGTACTTACACGTGCGGTCTCGCAAGATTTTTGAAGGGTCGATTTCTCTTACACGATGCTATTCCTTCATCGCGAAAGTTTTGTTGTTTCATTAGAAAAATTGGTACGTAGGAATTCGAATACCGTTGCATCGTTAAATACGAATATTCTGACGACGACTTTTGATCGCCTAATATGAAAACGTATTGACGGGGTGTGGCAGTCACTCTAACAGTCAATCTAAGCTGGCGTTCAATCGGTTTCATCTCTGAGTAAAAAATCCTGACAAGTATAGCAAACTGTTACACAAAGATGTGATTTTGTAAACGTAACAACACTAGCTAGTCTGATGAATTAAAAAAATAACTAAAATAATTTTGGCGACAATTTTCGCTCAATTTACTTTGACAAGTGTTGGTTCATTTTGAAATAGTCAAACAATCGAATGATTCAGAGATTCGTCACATGTTGCAGTATCGTAAAGATATATGAAATTGCATGAGATTTTACCCAACGTAAAAGTATCCACATAAAGTGTAGAGTTTTTGGGTACATATTGTCATATGTCCTTGAATTCTATTTTACTATCACAGCGTTTTTTGTCAACTTCTGTCACGGAGCAGCAAAATTTTCGTTCAGCCTTTAAAGTTTTACGATTTCTTTTCAAATCTATTAAACCAACTGTTTTAATTGAGAGGATTTTTTTCGATTACATTCTATTTGGTCAGGTAATGAAATGTCGATTCAAATCAAACTTCCGTGTAATAATGAATTCTACTATAATTAGCGAATAGGAAGGAATTTTTCTTCCTAAATAATATCATCCTAAAAATTTTAATTTATAAAATAATAGCCAGCCTGTATCTCGTCTGGATGAAAATGTATGTTTTAAACTTTGGCGTAATTGTAATACTCATAAATGCTATTTAATTGTTCGTCAACATCGTCATTTTATAACGGAACATATTCAAGATAATAAAAGGGCTCTTGTTCAAAATAAACACACTTTATTTGCCTCTTCTAAATACATAAAACTATATTATTCTTCTGTCATTATATCTAACATGATCTTCGCCAAACTGCGGTTGAAACCCGTTGACGTCGGCGATATATTTAATGGCATGTCTGTGTCCACCTGGATCTATATACCCGTATTCACCTCGTACAACGAAAGAGCCCCCAGAATTACTCAAGAGTCCGCCTTCTTCTTTCCTGAACGATCCTTCCGATGTTTCGTATCTGCAATTAATCGAACATCACACGATTAAGAAACAATGCTCTTTTGTTTCTAATTAAACAACAATGCATCCTACAGTAAAATATTTAAGACAATAGTAAAGAACAACTACATTTAAAACTTAGCCGCTAATTAAACGGATTGCGCTGAGCGTTGTGAATGTAACTTATTAAACACAAATAGCAGAGGCATAAAAAGTTTGTCATTTGAAACCAGTTTACCAGATCATTTATTACACTGTGTTTTTTTTTCTCTTTAAAACCGGCCCCACATAGTTATTTCACCTGTGTATTAGATTAAAAAAATATTATCTACAGAATTAAAATCAAAAGCTTTTTTGGTTAGCTAAAAAAATAATTGAAAATGAAACAAAGCACGTATTTGACTTAACGACCGGTGCTAATCGGAGGCCATGCATTTGTTCGGGTCTATGTGTAAAATGTTATTTAAAATATTAAAAAAATTATAAAAGCTTATATCTTTCGAATAAAATAATTAAAGTATAACGTTAACGATAATTACTCACTCGAAACTATAAGTCCCAAAGCCATTATTATTGATCACGAATCTTTTAAGTTGTTTTTCATTGGAACTGGCTTGCAAAAAAAAGACGAGTGCCATAAATGACAATATGGTGAGCAGCCAACTATTCTTAACCTGTACAATAAAAAAAGCTTTAAGGTCAAGACAGCTACATTGTACAATATTTTTATTTTGATTGTCTAGACTCGCGAAGCACCAAGAGGAGACACAAAAAGAAAGATCTTTCAAAAGGTGTGAATTGTAGAAATAAAAGAAAACGTTTTCCGTATTGGGCACTCAAATCCCTGACCAGCATTCGTTGTAATTTATAGAATATGAATCAAAAAATTTATAAAGGATTGATCGGGTTAGTATGTGGTAACTCACTCCAAGTGGCCAAGGCTTGATTTGACTTTACAGCCAATATCTCAGTTAAAAACAATAGTCAAAACTTTTTTGTCTCCTCTGTTTTTATTATGAGGTATCAATAAAGCTGAAGCAAATTTTAATTCAGGGCAGTTGAACGTATTAACATCATATCCGATCCAGACGACGAGGCAACGAAAAGTCGTAGTCGCCCGAGACATGTCTTATCGGATCCCCCGTATCCAGTCTCAGTGCTTCTGGCCTCTCCTCGACGAGTTCGACATTCGACCAGTTCGATGAACTAACCCATAGACACAAACCACTCCTCAGTTTTTCGCCGGATCTTCTCTGTGCACTGTTGGACATAAGCTTCCCCCAACAGCTAGCTACAATGACAGATCCTGTGCAGCTAGCATTTGCCGGATTCACCCGACCTTTAAGAGGTCGCCATTTGAGGAATTTTGGTCTCAACGGCTATCTGTTCTTTGAGTTGTGTGCCCTGCCCATTGCCACTTAAACCTCAGAATCCCTATACTAGTTTTGTTTGTAAGCTTATTTGTGTATATTTTTAAGGGCTTGTTAAGTGATTAATAAGGTTAAAAATGAGCCATTTCTTTATTTGTTAACGAACTATCCACCACTGATTTTGTGCTTAAAATCCACGCACACGTTCATGCGGCTGTCAAAATCTTGTATTTTAAAAACTGGTTTTTCGACTCACCATAATTGTCACCGTTCTACATTGACGTGTATCTAAATAGACTGCGAAATCTTAGCAATCGCCCACACTTATATCCAGTTGTTCAAGAATGTCAATTCTGGTCTTCATTCCTGGGAACCCTATTTGATCGTGGGAACGATCCAGTTAACCCTTTTTGTACACGGGAAGAACACAGCAGGGTTCCTCTTTTATTTGTTTCAGTTATGATCTAATTCAAATAATGTTGTCGACTCGTTTTTTACAATAATTGTTTTGAATAAATTAAGTTTTGAATTTAATGAAATCATAAATTTTGGATTATTCTTGATAACTTTGAAGTTTTTTTTGTTTCATAGCGTATAGTTTTTTCTATAAATTAATCACGGCTCATATGGTGTTAAGTGATTACCGGAAACCATAGAAATTATAACGTGAATGCCATCACCTTGGGGCGTAAGATCGAAATCTGTTGAAATGTCTAATTCGCCATTTGTTGTATTGTGCACGTTCTAACCTGAGCGCATAACTGCTTTGCGATAGGGTTTGGCAAGATATGGTAGCTATCTATAAGTCGCCCTACTATCTGTAATTTTGCTGGTATTTTGACAATGTCACAATCTTTGATTTATAAATCGTTCGTGAACACGTGTTGCGTTCGTAATTTCTTACAAAAAATAGCATTTACTTGAGCGATTTGAACATCGGCATAGTCGTATCGGTTCATAACAATATCATTCAAATGAAATAATTTTAATCAGTCCATATTCGTCCACTGCTGTATATAAACCTGCCCTAAAATGCACTAATGGGCTCAGTTTTTAAGCACATGCTCCTTGAATGTCATTTATTAGTTGTGTTGTGGACCATACGCTCTCCCACATATTGGTTGTATTGCACTCTTCAAAACTAGAGCTTACTTGATCCAGCACTTAAATAATTTGAAAAAAGCTGTTTTAAAATGAAATTAAATGAAATACAAAAGTTTGTAATTAGATTATGATCATTATGAATTCCTTAAGAGAAAATTCTTCTCTCTCAAGCAAATCTAGAGTAGTTCGAACAAATTGCCAGGAAAAACGGAGATAATGTTGGAAAGCGATGGATTACTATTAAAGTGAAATTAAATATTCGCACGATTGCAGTCAACTCGACTCCATCTTTTGAAAAACGAAACTAAGTGAATTATTTCGTTTTAAAATACGACAAATTGTTCTAAAATGGAGAATCACGGTAGTGATGATTCATTCAGCCAAACGACAAATTGATTTTTTATCAACTATTTTTGTGATAACATTAATTTCAAGTGATAAATGTAATGTCGTAAACAGGGTCAATTTTAAACTATACGAATTAAAACAAGATTTAGAGTTTCAACATATTTATTTACCTTTACCCACCGAGGAGTGATGCAACTATTGCGTTAGGCAAATTAAAAGATCCGCTGGATATTTTCTGGAATACAAAAAAAAATTTAAGTTAACTTTTAAAAATATCAATTTGAGATTGTAGGACTTAATTCTGAAAAACCTTTTTTTATGAAATTCTTATTTTCCCGTTTAATCTCTTTAACTATTCTTGTGAGTATAGGGCTAGTAAGGGCTTTCTAATGCCTATAAGATTTTAACTTTGAAGTCTGAACTGAACACCTTAACTCAAGTGTACCATAAAAATATCTACCATAGCAATGCGCAGGCGTGAATGTCCTACTTTTCTCTATTATTATATATATACTATTATGAATAAATAAATTGTGCTGGTGTTTAATTAGTAAGTTGCGATGATTTCATGTCTACGCGTTTAAAATTAAATCACGTTTAATCACTAGGAAGAATAAATAACTCACTTCGATATGAAAGCCAGTTTTGTCAGCTCTATACGGTACATAATGTATTTTCCCTTCTGGATCAACGTATGAATAATATCCAACGACAACCAAATCGCCATCTTCGTTGAAATATGCGGTCTCGTCTTTCTCGGTTTCGTCTATTGTTTTAAAACTAAAAAAACAAGAAAAATTCACACAAAAAATATGTTTAGTAGTCGTCGTGGCCTAAAGGATAAGACGTCCGGTGCATTCGTGTCGAGCGATGTACCGGTGTTCGAATCCCGCAGGCGGGTACCAATTTTTCTAATGAAATACGTACTCAACAAATGTTCACGATTGATTTCCACGGTGAAGGAATAATATCGTGTAGTAAAAATCAAACCCGCAAAATTATAATTTGCAAAATTTACTGGTGGTAGGACCTCTTGTGAGTCCGCGCGGGTGGGTACCACCACCCTGCCTATTTCGGCCGTCAAGCAGTAATGCGTTTCGGTTTGAAGGGTGGGACAGCCGTTGTGACTATACTGAGACCTTAGAACTATATCTCAAGGTGTGTGGCGCATTTGCGTTGTGGATGTCTATGGGCTCCAGTAACCACTTAACACCAGGTGGGCTGTGAGCTTGTCCACACATATAAGCAATAAAAAAAAAAAATAAGTATACAGTACGTTGCGTCTTTATTACCGTGTTAGTTTTAAAACACGAGGAAATTCGTAAACGTTGATTACAGAAATAGTGTAAGGCTGAGCCGTAAAGATGTCAACATATTGAATTGATTAATAATAATTGAAAATTAACTAAAAAAGATCGAAGAATTTTTTTGTTTTTATTTATTACAAATAGCAATAATGTTATTTTAGATGGGTGACAAAACTGGTGGTGGCGTTAAGTCACCTGGGCAGTGAAACGAGTTTGGTATTGGCAGCATACTAATAACACTCTGGTTTATTGAATTATGTGTTCTGTGGTATATATTATAAGCGCATCGGCATCGATCTGCTAGAATAATCAATACAAAAGATGAATGCAAGCAATTTCAACAACATATTCATAGTTTTAATTTAATACTGTCATAGCTCTAGCCCACTGAGTTTCTCGCTGGATCTTCTCAGTGGGTTGCGTATTCGATTCGGTTGTAGATTCTGTGAAGCACTGCTCTTGTTACGGCCAGTTTTAGCAATACTCCCGGTTAGAGCCCCGTGAGCTCACCTACACATCAAGGAGAAGCTGAAGTATAGATCTGTTCATATCTTTCTCTAGATTGAGAGGTTTGTAATTTTGTTCTCTGAAGAAATTAGAATGGTGAATAGAATAATAGTAAAATCGTTATTGTGATAATACTCAAGAAACAAAATCTGAAGGAGTAAAAAATTTATCAAAGAGGTGACTTTAATGACAACAACAACTAAAAATAACATACCGATAGCTGTATTCTCCTTTGTCGATGTTTTCATTTATGAATTCATTATAAATTATATCATTTCCATGAGCACCGTCTAAGGGTTGTCCTTCAGTTGAGCTTTGGACAACACAAACTACAAGAACAAACAGAAAAGGCACGTTCATCTGAAATCATAATGCAATATTAATTAAATAAGTATGCACTATTACCTGCACACTGCAGCAGATGCAGAAACATCAAATTAAATAGTGCAGAAATATAATGTATCATTTTTCGTTATTTGGAAGTACCACTTCAACGAATGATTGAAATATTATTTTCGTTTTTCGGGACATTTTTGTTTCAGTTCCCGCAGTCGCAGACGGCCGCAAAATCAAACATTTAAAGATATTTTACATCATGTATCCGATTTGCGAAAATTTACGTAAATATTTGAATACATTTTAATTCATTTTTACATACCGTGCAATAAGTTCTGATGAGTTGAAAGACATCCAATACTCAGCACTAGAAATATTTAACTGATAGAACCGCGTGAGGATTAGTCGTAGCCCGTTACTGTAAAATATTATTTATTGCTTCATTGAAGGATAAAAAAGTTGCTCAATAAAAATAACAATTAAAGACTAGAATGAAGAAAATATTTTTAGGTTTGATTTCGTGTTAATGGAAAAAAACTAAAAGTCATGAGAATGTAAGCTGCACTTTATAAATATGTAAATATCAATTTGAATTATAGGAACTTGTTCGTTCTCCTTTCAGTGTTTTCATTTAACAATTTTTTTTGAAAAAATACTAAAGTATGTATACCTTTTTATTGCTTTCAGTGCGGTTCTCTTGGTTCAACACCAAGTTACTAAAGCCCATTGACGTCACAATGCGAATGCTACCATCGCAACCTTGGAACGGAAGGTCAAGGTCTATTATCTGTTTCTACTAAAAATATTAAAATAAATTATGTACGAAAACATTCCGTTCTTCGTGTACGCTTAAAAGAACAAAACAACGAATACGTTTTGCATTGCATACAATTATTATCACTACCAATGTGAGTCAAAGTTTCATTAGAATTAAATTAATTATTTTAGCTTCTTCATAAATTGACATGTTGTTACAAAATCTAACGATTCGTAGTTAAAACTTTGTGTGATAATAAATTCCTTAGATCCTCCATTAAAGATGAAGAGTATGATCTATAAATTTTGATACTCGAAGTGTTTGGGAATTAGTTACAATACGTTTTAAAAGTACATTTGTAATTTTTAGTCAGAGGCACGTTAACAAAGATTGAGCTTTATCCGAAGTCTGTCAATATTTAAACCTTGAAGCAGAATATTAACTCTGATTTCCTGTACAATTAACAAAAAAACTTGTGAATCCTGAGAAACGTTTTTTTTCTCTCTAAACGTGTATAAAATAAACACTACCTCTCGTACATAAATGAAAATATTAATTTATTTGTACAATAAATATGTCATGGTATTTTTATTTTTAATAAATAGTCATAGTTTTATATTTATGTTGACAGAAAAATAAATAAATAAATCTTTATCTCTTGATGAAACAAGATTTAAACAGTAGTGGTAGATTCTGCGAAGCTCTGCTCTTGCTAGGGTCAGTGTTAGCAACACTACTGGTTTGAACCCCGTGAGCTCACCTACATGTCAAGGAGAAGCTGAAATAGCCTCTCAAGGCTATCAGCATAGGTAGGAAAAAAAGAATTGAACAATTTTTTTGAAGATCCAATCTTTATTTGAATAAAAGGTAGCAAACGGTAAGTAGGTACACCACGATTCACACTTTTCTTTTCCTGATTCTTTACTATGTAATGATTTTCTAGAATATTTCACTTTAAAGAATAAGATCGCCCGTGATACCTTTAAATTTTAATGATTTTTTTTAACTTTCCTGAAAAAACTAAATTGCTACGATTGATTGTACACTATTGATCTAAACATTAAAAAACTTGTCAGTGAACGTTAGTAAGTTTAATAAAAGAAACATTGTATTAATTTCACAGTCTATTTTATCCTACAAGTGAAGCGACGACACTCTGAGGTAATGCAGAAATCTGAAAAAAAAAAACGTGTATTGATAGGTCAAAATTCTTAAAAAAAGTTCAAAGTTCATACAAGAAAAATGAAATATCTTAAATATATTGACATCTATGCGACCTTTTAGAGGATTATATTCTAATAAATCTAGATGTCAAGAACCCCAATAATTTCAAAATCAATACTCAAATCCCTAAATAAGCAATCTTAACAACTAGCAAATCCGTTTGNAAAAAAAAAACGTGTATTGATAGGTCAAAATTCTTAAAAAAAGTTCAAAGTTCATACAAGAAAAATGAAATATCTTAAATATATTGACATCTATGCGACCTTTTAGAGGATTATATTCTAATAAATCTAGATGTCAAGAACCCCAATAATTTCAAAATCAATACTCAAATCCCTAAATAAGCAATCTTAACAACTAGCAAATCCGTTTGTTGGCTTCGGAAGTAAAGATTCACGGAAAACTTTTACTAGTTGACTGAATTTCTCACATGATTTTTTTATAGTACAGCTGCTGCCCCACCCTTCAAGCCGGGAGACATGCTTCGCGGTAGAAATTGGTCAGAATGGTGATACCTAGCCTACATATGAGCAACATCGTGACAGACGTAACATGCTCTAACCGAAACTTTTATTTATGTATTCGCTTTGTACGCGGACAAGCATACGGCCCACATGATGGTGAGTGTTTACCGTTCCCCAGGGACTTCAGCATTGCCAGAGGCAGAGCCAAGCCGCTGCCTACCGTTAAGTACTCTGCACAAGCCTCGTTTGAAGAAGCACATGCCATAGCGCTTTTAAGTGAATAGTAACAAAACTTACAGTCATATCTTTCTGCTCATCTCCAATTTTGTATCCTTCTTCAGTTGCGGAGTAATCAACTCTAACAGGCTCACCAGCGTCATTTATGTATGAATAATAGCCGTAGACTTCTATGTGCTCATTTGGTTCACCGGAATTCACTACTATACCTTCCTCGTATCGTATAAGATCATTAGTTGTTTTAAAACTGAAACAAGTAAGTTAATCGAGAGAGGACACTCTGGGAGTCTGAAAGTCATCATTCCTTCTGTGGTGAATACAAATACATTTTGATTACCAAGGGATCATAACAATTAATATGATTATCTTAAAAAGGGCATAATTAAAAAGCAGAAGACTGCAAAATATGCAATTAAAAATGTGAACGAAAGAAAAATAAGAAATTACCAATAAATAAATTATTGTTAAATAAGATACGTACGCATGAGAAAGTGGATTTTTGTTAAATGCTCAAAGTAAAACCAAATATTTCGTTCCCGTGATAAAATATATTCGATATCGATCTTTTGAATTAATACAACACAAATTATCAGTAAATAACAAAAATGCCGACCTAGGTACATTGTCGCGCACACAAAAAAACAATATGTCTTTGTACTTGAGATACACTGAGAGATACCGTGGAAATTGTTGAAGGCTACATATTTTGCTACACATTTAGAAACAAAATCGATTCAGTATCATTAAGTTCATTCCCATCAAGTTCCAGTTCATCACAAAACAGAGGCTTATCTAAATGCGCGCTATTCAAAACTAGTTTTTAAATAATCAGCAGTCTTATGTATTAGTATCTATATGTGGACAAAGCTTATTATGCACCTGAAATTAAGAGGTAACCAAACCACCAGGAAACAAAACGTCGTCCTCCACCTTCCTGAAAACATGAAGTCAAAGTCTCGATTGCTGAATAAAGCCTATCCTAGCTCTCATACCAGAAGGCATAGCTTCGTGATGTATTTGTGTACTGTGTACTTATATGGCAGTATTGGCTAGTTCGGTTTCCTAATATGCTATGAGCATACTAATTTGTTACGCAAATACATAATTGTATTGATTAACAATATTATATGAGTAACACAAAAATTACAACAATTTAACATGTATATTAATGAAATAATTGTACCTGAAGACGTAGTTACCCTTTGCGTCAATTGTATAATTATTTTCGATTATTTCTGCTAAACTTTCATCCTTGATTGGCGCAGAATTAACGACTGCTATGAAAATATGTAGAATAACTATTTTTAGGACAGTTCCCGTCATATTGTAGGACAAGATAAAACTGAGTTGTGGACTGGTAAGGATTGTTTCTTATATCGTACGGAATCGTGATCATTTTCAGATAATTATTTCCATGTTTATGATTCTTGAACTGGTTATAAACTAAAATCTGAACAAAAACGCTAACAGCAAAAAAAAATTCAGAGCCAAGAACATTATAATAGTCAACATTATTTAATTCTATCATATAAGAACAGTATAACGTCAAAAGACCAAAGTGCATTATGATATGGCGCGTGGGGCCACTCCTATTTTTACATAATTTTTTTAAGTGGACGTAAAAAGGTATTAGTTGTGCTAAAAGTATCTCTTAAGTTTTTTTACCGCACGAACTTTTTACGTAATTTTCATTCATATAACAAATCTATTAAATCTATGCTTTTTAAAAATTATGAAATAAATTTAAATTATGCCAATCATTAATGAGCCTTCAATAATAAAACTTATAAAAGTTAAGTTAAGTTTTGGGAATAACTACGGCACCATTAACAAGCACCAATAAACATTTTCATGGTCAAAACTATAAAATAAAATAAAAACACATCATTCATACAAAATCGTTTACATAAAAACGTTAATACTAGATGATCCGATCCGACATTGATGCCATAAAAAATTAATCAAAAATAGCATTTAGAATGTAAATTAAAAAAATATATATAACACGGTCTCAGCACCCAATAAACATGTTTGACGAGTATTTAATGAATTTTGCGGAAAATCCCAATCTTTCTTTTTATCAAATATACGATTTGATTGTTAAATAATATAGTTCTATTAAATATTACATTTTTCATTCATGTCCTTGAGTTTGAATTACTTTTATTGCTATATTGTCGGAATTCACAACCTAAAACCGTCACCTGCCTTGGAGTATGAGGTTGAATTTTTTTTTATTGCCCTTGTAGGCAGACGAGCTTACGGTCCACCTGATGGTGAGTGGTTACCGTCGCCCATGGACTTCAGCAATGCCAGGGGCAGAGCCAAGGCGCTACCTACCGCTAGAACTGGAACACCCTTCAGAAGGAAAGCAAGAAACTTTTGTGTGGGATACATGGGCAGGTGGTATATGATGGACATCGGTAGGCACATATTTGTCAAGATCGGCTTATAGCCACATCATCTGTATCCGGATATAATATTGTTACCTTTGATTATGACAATAATTATTATTAACTACATCATAAAATATGTTGACAACACGATGTATGTTATTGTTCACGCGTAATGCCAATGGTTCTTTAAATTTGGTTGTTGCTTAATTTATGTCATGTTTTGTTATCATAATTATTTAATATAAATCAACAGGGCGTATCTACTATCATCTCAATATATTTATAACTCTAAAGGTGGTATGTTGTGTACACACCAAATTAATTCCAATGTATTAAGTGCGTTGCGACTGACAAAATGTACCTTATCATTTGTATTTTTATTTCATCATCTAATGTATGTTTGATTTATGTTCTACATTTGAAAACTAATACATTCCCTGCCATCACTTCAAAACATTATGTAATTAGCTATTATGTGCATTTTAAAACGAAATGTATCTGTAATCTAGCTTTTGTTTCAACCATTACGTAATACACCCAATAAAGTTCAAACGATATTGTTCGTGGTTACCATCCAGAAATTGATTTATGACGTGTCACATAATAATGGCGAAACACGAGTTCAAGTATTGTCGAGTCTAGTATGGCGAGGATTTCAATGGTTATGTAAGGTGAAAGATGACACCGGAGCAAAGGTAACTGGCCCACTCTGGTACATCGCGGGCCCATGATCAGGCGATGTCATAATTCCACAAAGAGACCGCAAGGCTTTAGCAATTATTTAAATTGTGATCGATAATATGAATATGTGAGTAATACTCACTGATAATGTTGTAATCGAACAACAAAGAGTTTGTCGAGTCAGAAATATTATATTTCAACATTCTTCTGTGTATTTAAATAAAAAGACCTAGTTACGCCTATAATCTAGGCCTGCACTTTTCATGTGTTTTAATATTAATTAAAAATCAGTAACTGGAGATTTTTTTTTTATTGCTTAGATGGGTGGACGAGCTCACAGCCCACCTGGTATTAAGTGGTTACTGGAGCCCATAGACATCTACAACGTAATTGCGCCACCCATCTTGAGATATAAGTTCGAAAGTCTCAAGTATAGTTACAACGGCTGCCCCACCCTTCAAACCGAAACGCATTACTGCTTCACGGCAGAAATAAGCAGGGTGATGGTACCTACCCGCGCGGACTCTCAAGAGGTCCTACCACCAGTAAATAGAATGTAAAAATCAATAAATAATAATTTATTGCTGAATAATCAGGATGTTACTTAGGAAAATTCATTTGTGCTTTAAATTTGTATTCAATAAGAATATTTATTAGTTATATAAAATAAAAATTTATTGCTCAGAAAACTATTTAAAACATTAGCACCATCTAGTTTTAAGAGAATGAACCACTATACATCGGGCTTCAATATCGAAAATTGTTTTAAATCATCGAACGTCTATAAGATTTGTTGTCAGTTGTCAATACGCTACGTTCATGTAGTAACAAAAGAAATTCACAGATGGCAGTAAAAAGTGTTAACATGAAATACAGTATTTCATCATCATCATTTCAGCCTATCGGCGTCCACTGCTGAACATAGGCCTCTCCAATAGATTTCCAGTGCGACCGGTCCATTGCCACCTGCATCCAACGAGACAATACAGTATTTAGTTTTATAAAACTTTGGTTTTTTTAAATATATTTTTAAATATGAGTTTATGAATCAGACCTTTATACCGGCTTAGTTATTATTTAAATGCAGTTCTTAGTAATTAATATTTTATAATACAGTATAATGGTTTCATATAGTATTATCAAAATTGGATAGGATGGCAGAGAGTTATGCGCTACACGCGAAACACGTTACCTTGACCCCAGCCCGCCTCATCCGAAGCTCGGGCGAGGGTTGTTGGGCGATAAGGTGCTTTAGTCGGTCTTACTCCGATATGGCCTGCCTACTACCCCCAACGTCTAGGCGGATGTCCAACAAATACATCTCGACACAAAAATAGAGAAAAGTATCATTGCAGTATTTTTTCCATTGTTTTGTTTTTATTGCATTGATTTTTGAACTAGCTCACGATCCAGCTGACGTCAGGCGGTTACCGGAACCTTTAGATATCATAGCCTGAACGCTACCTATTTTGAGACTTGAGGCTTAAGTCTAACTTGTATTATAGCACAGCGGTTGTCTAACTTTTCCAATCGAAACGGATTTAGGGTATAAATAGGCAAGGAGCTTTCGGGTATAAATAGGTAAGGATATACCTACCCGTGCGGACTCACGAGACACTCACCCGCCAGTGATGCAATTTAAGGGTTTGCTTGTTTGATTTTAATTACACGACGTCTGACCTTTTTCACGACTTGAGTACACTCTTAACATAATAACTGAACAAAATTTGCTACAGTCACGTAAAAAATAAAAGTGAAGCAAACAGATATTTTGATTGGATGGTGTCCTTATTTTAGGCCGTGAGAAAATTGCCGGACTTTTATATTTATACCTTTGTATGGGTTTCATAGTGAGATAGATTATACATCTACGGCAAAACTAAATTATGATGTATTTAAATGTAACACCGAATATTTATATGTTGTATTGTATATGGGTATATTTATAATGTGAGTGTGTTTAAAACTGAACTATTAGCAGCTAGACAAATTTTGTTGAATTGTTTGGATATACAATTGAATCAATTGACTCTATAATTTAGATTTAAAATTGAGCCCAACGGGTGACGCTGCAAATGGGTTTTTGAAGTGAAACTTCTTTAGGCGCGTTGAGAATAAAATGTTACCCGTGGAAGATTCGTTACGGCCAGAGAGAAAAGATACAATTTAGGAAGAGCGAGAGTGAGAAAATAGACAATGCGTCTCGCGAATCACTCGACCGTGGAGTGAGGGAAAGAACAAAGCGAGCTAGGTCGTTTCTCTTATACACAGCATTGCTTATTACAAGAGAAATTTAATTTAAGGATGAAAATAAAGAAAACTATTACACACCGCAAAAGAAGTTTCACTTCTTCCACGTGCACCAAGCGGCACGCATGACATTTTTTTTGGAACAGGCACCGATATCTGCTCGGCCCACTTGTTTGTAAAATCATTAGGTTCGTGTAACGTGCAAATTCTATGATCAACCATCAATGTTGGATCTGTGGGATCGACGATCTAGGCCATTGAATTCAATGTCAGAACGGCAATTTGTTAAGGCTATGCGTTATCCTCCACTCCGGCTGACGCAGAAACCAGTCACCGTTGACATCCTAAGCACGTCCTTACAGATCCACCCGATCCACTAACGTTGTTATTAAACTTCTGTAGATTTAGCATTTGGAGCAGACATAGGAAACTTTGTGATCCTATTCGTCACGGAGTTTGGTCGTCAAGGCCTTGAAATTTTGACCACTTCTACATAGTATTTATTAATTTATTGCTGAGATGGGTGGACCAGCACATAGATCACATAGTGTTAAATAGTCATCGATGCCCATACACATGAACATAACGTAAATGCCGTCACCCAATTTGAGACATGAATTCTAAGTCTCAGCTTTTACATTACGACTGCTTGATGTACCGACCCTTGCGGACTTACAAGACGACCTTCTTTAAAATTCGTAATTTTAATTAAGTTAATACATCAATTTTATCTTATGTGATTTATAATTGTAATAATTATGTCGCTTGAAAACACTTTTATTTTATCTACAAAAAAATCGCCCAAGAAATTGTTCTAATAGAAAGGTTACTATTAACAAAGCCGAGAGCGTGTTTAAAAATGTCCAATGGTTGGGATCGTTTATGAGACAATTAAACACCTCGATAGCGACGATAAAACAGACGAGAAATACTTTAGAACTATTCGCACCAGTATGTTACATAGGCAGCAAAAGAAAACCACACATCTATTTCGTTTCACATTTCTTTTATTATTTTAATATTATAAGTCCTTATTAAATAATAAAAATCACAGTAACAAGTTATTCGTACTTATGGCTATTACACATTAATGTGTATCGATAGGTACAAAGGGTGTGAGTATTGTCAAGATGTCCGGTATTGTTTAACCGCGGAAAGGCTGGTATTGTTGGGGTTGGTAGGTTGGCTGGGGCTGGTAGGTTTGCTGGGGCTTCTGGGGCTGAGATTCGATGTATTGAAGAGCCCGGAGGATGGCTTCTGGGATCGGGGGAGGAGTAGGAAGATGAGCACCTTCTGGGCGGAAACCTGTAAAAGACAAAAAAGGATATTAGCTTAGTTTTCGAATTATTAGCTGTATTGATATCATTGAATTACGTTTTAAACTAACTGAAAGAAAAATGCGAATTCGAATTTTCGTAATACGCTTATATTAGGTAAACGGAATTCGTGAGACGTTTCAAAATTATTCTAAAGCGGCAGTTTACTGTTCCGGTGTTGTACGCTACCAATGTAATACGATACCAATGTAATGTACCGGCATGTAATTATTACGCTCAGGTCAAGAAAATGAAATCGTTTCGTGTTGTTGTGATAAGTTAATTAACACTAATAAATTAATGCAAAAAACATTAAATGGAACGTCATGTACGAGCATGCTTAGATTATCTTAAAACTAAGATCTATAGTTCAAACATTTTATTTAGCGGTTTCTGTGTTCGGTAACTTTATTGCTTCGATATTGCGCGTCCATTGTTTTAAAACTTTGAGTTTTTCATTTAAAAATAATAAAACGCTTGTATTTTTTTCTTTCTAGAGGTAAGTTTGTCTATGTCATTCTTTCGCTGAGATGTTATGTAGATGCATCGCTTTACTGTTGTGTCATACTGATCAGCAATCATGCTGTTATATTAATATTGTAATATGTATTATTATTACAATAAATCATATGATTAAGATTAAGTAAAATAATGAGGCTTTATAGTATGGCATAAAGGAAAGGAAAGTAAATTACCGTTCTCATCAGCGACGTAAGAAACAGAGATAGGGATGCCCTCAGGGGAGGTGTAAGTGAAAGATCCTTGTGCAACTTGGGCTTCGGCATCCTTAGCTCCAGCGTTCTTGAGGTAACCTTGTTCTTGAGCAGCGATGCCATTGCCGGTCTCGTAGCTGAAAAAAAAACTCCTTGTTAAGTCGTGCAGCTCTAGATTATAGGTATATAGCCGTACTCGCTCGCTTCGTTGGGTATTTAAAATTAATATTATTATTTATTGTCATTATTGTATAAATATTAGCCTATCCATTAAGTACATGTATTTTCTACACGAATACCAAGTTTCAAGTCAATCGGATGCAAGGTTCAGTAGTTATAATGGAACATCCGTAAAAACCACTGTAGATTTATACCTTATATTAGTATAGATTTATGGCCCTAATAGGCAGACGAGCATACGGCCGACTTGATGGTGAATGGTTACCGTAGCTCATGGACCTGAGCAATAACAGAGCGTAGAGGCTTGGCTCTGACGTTGCCTACTATTATTAATATTAATGAACAATAATTTCATATTAAAGTAACAATATGCATACCTAAACATATGACCTTTAAAAGCATTAATCATCCAATTTAACGTTATGAAGCCGAAGGAACTTTAGTTCCAGACCATGTGTAGTTGAGAGGTCACCAGGACATATTATTACGATTTCGTTGAAGTTCGACTTCGTAAACCTACAATATTTGATTCTAAGCACAAGAGCAAAGAGCTTATTTTGCAACAGAGTATATAGCCTTTGATTTAAGCCTTAAATCCTTAAAGAGCAAATTTAATGATATGATTCAGTAAGGCGTATTCGGGTCACAAGATCGCGTTGTACACTGTCAATCTATTGCTTTTAGGAATGTTTTGATTTTGAGTAGAATTTGATTCTTAGGAAAGGCTTAGTTTCGACTAAGCAAGCTATAAACGACATACGAGATAAAATATGGTAGAAAAATTGAAACGTAGGCCGCTATCCTAAGAAATTTTATCATCAATTCAATTCAATAAATTTAAGTTTCAAATGTGATATTGATCACGGAATACACTGTTGGGAAATTTGACATTATTGCGCTAATATTTTTATGGTCACGCGGGTCATTCAACCTTTACTTTATCTAATGAAATTAAACGCGAATCATTATATTTTGCGGTTATTGATCCTACTGTCCTTTTGATTACACAAGCAGGAACAAGTACGCTTGCACAAGCTCTCACACAATTCTCGATCTGGTTACCATGTAAATCACATGAGTATCTTTTTGTCATTATATTAGCATTGACTGTCGAAAATTCTTGAGAAATGCCAATTCAACCTGAATAGTATAGTTCAAGGTAAACTAATTTCCGAGGGATTGAGACGATTTATGGCGTGTGATGTGGATCAAGGTGAAATTGTGTCAAGTGTGTAATAAAATGTCTTTACGTGCTCAAGATGATTCAATATTTTAGAAAATGCGTTGTGACTTATTCATTTGTGTAAGTTAGCAATAGATTGTGTCATATGGTCATGTAATAAAATACCACGCTTTACCTTACAAGCTACGGCTAATAAGCCATTATTAGAATCTTTCGTAATCATTTACACCTATCGAAGTAGTTTGTGTTACAATTCGAACACATAGCTTTTAATTCTCTTACCTGAACTGGTATGAGCCGTCGAAGTTCACGTCCTGTGATTGACTCAGGATGGGAATTACTTGACCTTGGTATTGTTGCTGATACTGTGACAGCTGGGGGGCGGCGCAAGCCATTGCCACCAAGGCGGAGATTACTACGAACTGCACAAAAAAACACATTAAAAATTATTTAATTTGTGCAAAACTGACCAAAACCCTCAAGTGTTTGAATACCGGCTCACGGAAGGCTATTTCTGCCGTGAAGCAGTTATGCGTTTCGGTTTGAAGGGTGGGGCAGCCGTTGTAACTATACTTGAGACCTTAAAACTTATATCTCAAGGTGGGTGGCGCATTTACGTTGTAGATGTCTATGGGCTTCAGTAACCACTTAACACCAGGTGGGCTGTGAGCTCGTCCACCCGCCTACGCAATAAAAAAAATTAAAAAAAATGGTAGTACCTGTAAAAGCGAAACGATTGTTTGCTTTGTGGCACAAGTATTGAGATGTATATAGAATAACTGCGGATTAACCTTTGTTCCACATACTTTTTTTTTAATGAAACTAACTTGCAAAATGCTTTATTCTATGATCATATATTTCAAAACGATCATTTACATTTTTATGCCATACCGAGGATGAAACAGTGATCCGTACGTAAATAGAATGTCAATATTTCGTAAAGGTTTCAGAACTGAGATAACTCTGGCAATTGCCAATGACCACAACATTTATTTAACATTCGGTACATAAAATATAATCGATATAACTATTCGAAAATCTCAATAAAGCTTTATTTAAACAATTTCGGCCGTGACCATTGTTTATGATATAATTACGCAGTTATAAAAATCTATTTTACAAATTCTAATTTGAATATAGCGTTTGAGATGTAGTTTAAAATACAAGTTACTGATGTTAATGGATTTTATTTTTGAAGACCAATTTATTTTAATAATTCTTAAAAATGAGAATTGTAGTTAATGAGTGGTTTTTGTTGATACATAAATTATACCAGCAATAAAGGCTAAACATTTAATTACTAGTGGTAAAACTACATTGTTTTTTTTCTTCCTTTACCGATTTTGAAAATCAATAGATATATTAAAGAAGTTGATGGTAAACAAAAGTATGCAATGGTAAAAAAAACACTGGCAGTAAAATGTATAAAGTACATTTACGAAGTTCACTCACCGATTTCATTATTGATATTAAGTTTGTTTTTTTTTTTTTTAATATAAAATCTAATATGTCGATGATCTACGTTGGATGTGTGAGGCGGGAATGATTTTTCAGATCGACCGGCGTAGCTTATATACTACGCGACGCTGACACACCTCGTGAAATTAGAGTATGCGAGTTCAACCGCGGAGGCTTCGTATACCGCATCGCATTTTTTTATAGTGCTTAGATAGTTGGACGAGCTCACAGCCCAGCTGGTGTTAAGTGGTTACTGGAGCCCATAGACATCTACAACGTAAATGCGCCGCTCATCTTGAGATATAATTTCTAAGGTCTCAGTATAGTTACAACGGCTGCCCCACTCTTCAACCCGAAACGCATTACTGCTTCACGGCAGAAATAGGCAGGGTGGTGGTACCTACCCGTGCGGACTCACAAGAGGTCCTACCACCAGTAAAATCGCGTCAAAGCCGCCCGCCCATAACATTCAACGTACGACTCATACGATGCAGGTTTCTAACAAATTAAATCTGTAGTGCATTTTGACATTTCGTTTCTCAGTACTCGGTGATGGGATGCTGTCTGCAATACGACACTCAAACGCCTTCTTCCTACGCCTACTTCACATTTTTGCGTGTGATATCGTGGAGTGTTTTTTTTTTTTCTTCTGTTCTCAATCTGTATTTATAAAGCAAACATTATACCATCTCTAAATTAAATGTTTGAATTAATTATGGTACTTTTCGGAGGTACCGTTAGATGTGGTTGCCCTTTGGTGACTACAAAACCTTGTAATATATACGAAACATCGGAAGTTGTACAATTATATCATATTAATAAGCCCATTATAAAATCATAAAATTTTAAAAGTCATAGTAGTACATATACATTTTTTTTTCAAGAATGAAAGTAATTAAAGTATTTTTGAAAAGTTATTCTGTTTACGTAATATAAACGTATAGTTTTAATGTAATGCTTAATGTAGACTTTACTTGATTTATTGTTCTAGTACAAGATATAATCATCTGAAAGATACTTATTGGTTATGTTGTATAAATTATGAGCTTCATATATCATGTAATTACAATGTGTTGTACTAAGTTTTAATTGATTATTGAATAATAATTTTAATCCAAGACCTATTTAGTCCTGCAGAACAGCTTTTTAAAATTTAATTTTAAAACCATTTTATGAAGGTTTTTATCTTTTATTTGATTTTCATCTGTTGCTCTTCTAAAATTGGCAACGAATTCGCCTTGAATGTTAATTAATTACTTTTAGTGCTTATTTGGTTTCTATAGTGCTTAAGATTTTAAATATTCAATCACCGTCAGGAACAATTTAGGTATATCTCATTCTTCTTGCTATGCGTCTCCGTCATTGAAGGTTGTCCGTTAGCTTCCAATACTTCGTTTTATTCAACGTCACAGACAATAAGTATGCTGTATATCGATCAGGCTAGTAAAAACAAGGGGCTTTTTAATTTTATATATTACATAGTGTATAATGGACAAGATAACAGGAAAACACTGCACCAGTATACCTACTGATAATATTTAATTTATGCTGCGGATACGTATTTTTCTAAACTTGAGGACTTTCCTGAAACCTCATTCAAAGAAGGAAATGTCATACAATAACACAAGTTCATTACAGGCCGAATGAAATGTTGCAAATCTTTGAAAACACTTAGTGGGTGCACACAATGGTTCTAATTAATATGGATAAACTCTACACCGATGGCGTTGGAATCTTAAAAGAGAAGTCTTTTGTGAAATATCGACGTGATGGCTCTTTTTCTTGACGTTGGAATATTCACCCTTGTCACCGTTCATTGGACATATTTACTTTAAATACGATCTCATATTTCACAATTTGTGTTTTATGAGATATATTAAATTCTTCGTATATTCGTCGTATTATTGGTCTACAACAAAATTTGGCTTTGATCTGTCTGTTCCACTTTTGACTACCCTAATTTCTTGACAATACTCTTGAACTGTTTCCACGGTGAAGGAATAACATCGTGTAATAAAAATCAAACCCGCAAAATAATAATTTGCGTAGTTACTCGTGGTAGGACATCGTGTGAGTCCGCACAGGTAGGTATCATCAGCCTGCCTATTTCTGCCGTGAAGCAGTTATCCGTTTCGGTTTGAAGGATAGGCCAGATGTATTATAAAAACTGAGACCTTAGAACATCTCATGTCCTAAGGTGAGTGACGGCATTAGTGTTGTAGATAGCTATGGTCTCGGGTAACTACACACTTAACCAGGTAGGTCGTGAGCTCGTCTACCCATCTGAGCCTTAATTACCATTGATGCCATACCATAGGAGCCACGCATTTCCTTCAACAAGTCTTACATCTCATATGCACTATTACACTTAATATTGTTTTAGCGAAGAATAACACAGCCTCACAAGTAATTTAGAAAAACAAAAATGGGGCATATACATTATTATTTAAACTAATCTACACACTGCACAAATATCATAAGACACGCAAAGTAATATGCTTATGCTTTAATTTTAATGAAAATACGCTGATTTAATACTGCTGTCCCTCGAGATATAACACAAATTTATCTACAAAACAAAACATACCATTGAACTAGTTTAGGTAATCCTCAGCACAATATCTCGCATCAAAAAATCTACAGACGGATGTTAATCTATTATTTTAACCACAATAGTTTTATTCATATATTAGTATTCCCACAGAGTTAAAACGTAAAGGTCAAAAGTGAGTAATATCAAACTGGACTCGTTGGTAACCGCTCGCGTATCAGAATAATCAAGACGGCTGCATCACACGGCATCATCTGTTTTATTTTGACATTCCGCAAAACCGTGTGATATTAAATATTATTTACTTATTTAATCTTAATAACAGTAAGCTTTTTTAATTCAAATAGTACCGAATAAAATTAAACTCAATATTTTATTTGATTGTATACTCTTATTATTATATCCATATTTTAATAACTATATATCTATACTATATATCCTAATAACTATTAGTTTTTTGCGCTTTAAACTCTGTTAAAATCTTGTGTTCACAATTCGTTGCTAGTGTGTTCATGTTGTGTTCGCTTAAGGGAGTACGGAGGTATAATACGTCCTCAATTAAATACGGCTATATACGTAACCAACAGCCAAAACATCACCGTTTGCTACTATTTGTCTAGTTAGACAATAAACCAAAATAGGCCCGCTCGAATTAAAAAACTTTTGGCATAAAGTTTTATTTTATATCATTAAATTCAACATGTTAACGACGCATCGATTCGAACATCAATAAAAATCATTCTTTAATAAACAATTAAATTAAATGTGTGAAATTGCAAAATAATTTGTTTGACCTTTAGTTTTGAACACTATTTGTATGTTTATATATTACGGACCATCTACAAAGCTGGTTAGTTGCCCTCAGGGCAAGGTTCATTTGCTGATGTGCTGTTTAATAAGATTGGTAACCCATGCTCTTTCTACGTTGGATGGATAATCCATGCTCTTTCTGCGTTTCCTCCTCTAGTGAATATTAGTAACGTTGCTGTGTTTAGCGAATATACAGAGATAAGAATCAAATATGATATATTTTTGGTATTTTAAAATCTAATTTTTAGTGTCTTAAAGGTTTGTAATAATAAAACGTAAACCATAGAACCAAAACCGCAAGAGGAGAAGAAAAAAAAAGAAATATTATTAAGATACAATTAGATACCTATAAATACCAGTGTTCCAGCTATCAAGCCTGCTGTACTATTTTTTCCTAAGCGTTAAAAAGTGTAACTCAAATTACATTGCCATAGAAAAAAATGTTTTCTATAATGATGAAAGAGTTCTTTCACAAAACAAATATGTATAACGTAAATTGATAGGCCAAAAATTTTTTAGTACAAATATTTCCTCCCATGGAATAGTGAATGCCATTATCCACTTTGAGGTACGAAGAATAAGTCTCAATTTCAATTTAAATATGTTTCTCGTACCTTTTGACTAAAATGGATTATTAATTCGCCGCAAAATAGGCAGGATCTTCTCCGGTGGTAGATTCTGTGAGCACTGCTCTTGCAGTGGGCCAGTGTTAGCAACACTCCGGTTTGAGCCCCGTGAGCTCACCTACATGTTAGGGCGAAGCTAAAATAGCGTCTCTAGGCTCAGCATAGGTAGGAAAAAAAGGCGGAAAGCAAACCGTGTGGGTTCACGAGTGAAATGCTTAATAATAAAAAATGCATAGAACATAGTTCGCTGCAATGGTGGATATCTTTTTTGTGAGAGTCTCTGTTTTACAATATAAATCAATTGTCAAAATACGTCAATCGTATAAGAACGAAACATCAAATGCTGTTGTTTCGTTAATTATTTGAAATTTGTTCACATAATTACGTGTTTCACATAGCATTCATGNGGTTCACGAGTGAAATGCTTAATAATAAAAAATGCATAGAACATAGTTCGCTGCAATGGTGGATATCTTTTTTGTGAGAGTCTCTGTTTTACAATATAAATCAATTGTCAAAATACGTCAATCGTATAAGAACGAAACATCAAATGCTGTTGTTTCGTTAATTATTTGAAATTTGTTCACATAATTACGTGTTTCACATAGCATTCACGTTGATATTGTGTTTTCTCACACAGAATAAATTATAACCTCGAACCGTACCGTATTTAATTATTTAGTATAACAGAAATGCTATCAGAAAAAGAATCTGAGAAATAAGCGATTATCAATAATTAAAGATAATTTTTTTACGGAGTCGCGGAGATTAGTCAATTATATAAGTATTATAGTATATATTCTGTTGCCAAAGAATATCCTCTAAAATTTCAATTACTAGGTGCACTGTTTGTCTGTAATTCAATCAACTGTTTCACAAGTTTGATAACGTTTGGAATACCTCATTAAGATCAGTAGAGGATGTTTGTAAACCCATTGGCTTTAAAATTATTCAAAAATGTAAGTAAATTGGATTCCCATCAAGATATCATTATCTTTATATGCCGATCACTGACACTATGATGGATTATTATAATATTAAAATGTCAGAGTGG